TAGCAAGCATTTCTTTGAAAAGTTGGAGCAATTCTTTAATTAATAATTGATTGTTTAAAATTTGATTGGATTTTCCAGGAACTTCTGGTTAGTAATCCATGACTCTCTTTTCCCCGTAGTTATAAATATGATGTCAAAAAGAGGCTCATATCATTTAGCTAATCCGGATGATGACCCATATTTATCATATCCAACACACAAAGTGAGCAGGATGGTTCGGAGAAGCAAAGACATTGCTAAGAGAATGTCAGTATAGAGAGACATTTTTGGGTTAGCATTTCTCAATTCCCAGTTTTTTACCAGCTGGGTAAAAAAAATAATCATAAAACTGACATCAAAGCCTAAGATTTTAATTAGAATGTTGCATCAAACCAATAAAACATTTTAATAAAGAACGCATATTTAACACCTGTTTAAATGATTTTTTTTTATTTGCTTTTGATCAGTTAAACAAGTGACACGTCTTTGTATTTGTCTGGCCAATTGATAGTAAGCTGCTTTCCTGAGAATAACAGATTGCTTCTTTTGCTTTAAAAATGAAGGAGGTGTTGCTTGTTTTGATGAAAGGTTAAAAGCCAAGAAATTTCCAAGTCAGGAATTTTATTTGCAGAAAGAGTTGTTTCCTGTGACAACAAGAGGTCCAGAAAACATGTTTGAAGATACAAAACAAACACAAACCTGACTTTTTAATTTTTATTTTTGACTGGAATCTAAAAAAAAAACAAACAAAAAAAAACCTTGACAACAAATAAAAAGACGGTCAATTTCAATTTGGTATATACAATTACTTCTTTAAATAAACTGAAACCTTGAAGAGATACAAACAGATACTAACCCACTCTAGAAAACATATCTTAATCACTAAGTAGGAGCAGAATTCTATTTGACAGTTTTGTTGAGTTGGAAGTCTGTCTTTTTTACCTTTAATATAGTTGTTTATGTGCCTTAATGGTGAAGCTTTTGAATGGGCGGATATGAAAAAAAAACACAGTTGAGGTGTAAAAATGTAGAGCCCTGAACAAATTGTGCAGAAATCTGAAGTGAAGTGTCATTCTAAATTGCTGGTTCCTTAATAATTAAACTGCAGTGAACATTCTATGAATATTTCCAGAATGTGTTTATCAATTTAATGAAAAAATAAATAATTAGCATAGAGCTACTTTTGCATTTATTTTCTTGGCGTTTGGCATGAAATCCATTATGAATCAGTGAGCATATGTATTAAACAGCCTCCAAGAGCTGTTCCTGAGTGTGAGTGACAGTGCTGCTTATTTCATTTCAGAGCTACTGTTTACTGACTTTAACTCATTATTTCTGTTTACCTTGACAAAGGCATGGGTGGAAACTCTTAGTGCTATTCCACCATCAGTTCTGCTTTAATCAACTTCTCTAACCCATCTGAGATTATTAAGGATACACAGTGGCTGCATGCTATTACAGGATGAAAGTTACCAGCAGCTACTGACCCAGTAAAAAGACTTTAATTAAAAAATCTTCATAAAAGATTGAATTTTAATTAAGAATAGACCTTCAATGTATTTGCCCAAATCGGGTTCTTATTTGTACAAAACAGAGTGGAGTCCATACCCAAGTGTTGGAAATGACCTATAAAAGCAGTGGTATTTCAAAAAAAGGTTTAAAAAATGTGCTAAAAAGAAAAAAATGCCAATAATTAAAATCTCATAATTAATGGAATTCATATAACCATTCCTTACATTTTATATATAACTAGAAAATGCAGCAAAACCAACATCCCTGTCCTGCACAACTATTGAACACATCAAGGGGGGTTTTCTGTAAATGTATTTCTAAAGATGACATTTAGACCATGTTAACTCATCTTGTTGACATTTGCAGAGGAGTTGACATTGGGGTAGTTCACACATCAGGTGCAATAGATGCACAAGGAACAGTTTTTGAACATACCTAATGACATTTAATCAATATCTGTGGTAAAAACATTTGCTGTATAAAAAAAGCTGTTCCAGGATTTGCTCAGGTGTGATTTGATCCATCCTTTCAAACCAATTAATTGCAAATCTTAAAGATTGTGGAAGTCATTCTCTAGTTCATTTTTGAGTGCTTTTAATTTGATTCAACTTAATTGAATCACTGGGCCATTCACTTTTTTCTTTGATGTGTGTTTAAGATCAATAAATTGGGTAAAAGTGGGCCCTAGTTTGATGTTCTTATTAAAACATTTCTTGGTAGTCTGTCGGCACCACCATGGTAACCAGCGTCAGACTGTGATGCTCCTGTCTAAAAACTTCACATCTTTTTGTATTAAGTCCCATTTCTCTACCAAACATCATGTGCAGTATGCTTTCCGAGCCCTTTTTTGCCTTATATTCTTCTTGGTGTCCAATTGTTCTTCCCAGTATAATAGGCTTTCCCTCTTGCGAGTGGGAACAAGGTTGTGCATGTTCTTTTTTTTTTTTTTTTCTAATGCGGAGACAAATATTATTAGGATTTTCCATTGTTTTATTTCTGCAGTCGTATCTTTTTTGTTTATATCTTGCCCATGAATTTAAATTCGTTTTTTTTCTTTGAGTGTATCACAACTTCATTAGATAGATGACTGATTTCACTGTCACAAAGCCCGAACTGTGTCCCTGTGAATATAACCGACCTCTTAAAAGACAACCCCCCATCCCCTGAGTTGATGTACAATGACTTTTTTTTTTAAGTAGTCTACTTTTTCACTAAATATGTGCGTGCTTTGTATATTTTTCAGCAGATGAAAATGTACAGTAGAAGGGAAATAAATTAGACTAAACAATACCTGTATTCGTATGTAAAAAAAAAAAAAAAAAAACCCACCCAAAATATATAACTTAATTGTTAAACAATAATACAATAAGGTAATTGGAATAATATCTCATCTCATGCACAGTTAATGATGAAATAATTTAAAAACCACAACTGTGGCTTATTAAACAGCCCCTAACAATTGAATTTTTGACCTAAGCCTTCCAAATATTTAGCTCTTATAATCTAAATGTACCAACACATAACTAGACTGACCATAATTGAAAAATAATTGTATTATTTAAAATAATATTTCCAGTGTTGATTAAGGTGTTTTAATGACTCATGTTCTGCAGTACTCTATCAAATGATTTAAACTCCCAGGATGGCTCATTAAACTGATCCCAACAATTGACTTACTGATTAACCTTCGAGTTCCACAGTCTCTATTAACACTTCTACAGTGCACTAATTAACCTGTACGCTGAATCGCCTTTAGACCAGATTTAGTAGAACAGTGTTAACCCTGCTATCTATTGTTTAAGCCGAGAGTCATCAATCATTTAGAAAAAAATCTAGGTACTCAGTCATATGATGGGATATAGTATCAACTTTTGAATAAGATAAATTCACATAAGTTCGTGTGTGATTAACATAATTTTACTCAGTTATAGTAAATGCAATTATTTTCACATGTATATCAATTCACATGTGATTTAAAAAGAGCAACTAAAAAAAATAAAATTGAAAGCATTTGGTGGGCGGTGATTTTTTTAAGAGGCTTGCTCTGTGGGCACCATGTTGATCACCACTAAATTTGGGTACAGGCAACTTTATAGTGTTACAGGCGTAGGACATCTTTTAAAACTTCAAAAAGTAGAATTCTTAGAAATGTATGGAAGATGATTAGGACCACTGAAAAAAAAATTAATTGATTTTTACATTTTATATGAGAAAAAAAGTCGGAATTCTGACTTTAACTAAACAATTATACACAATTCTGACTTTTTTCTCAAAATTCTGACTTTAATTTCAGAATTCTGACTTAAATCTCAGAATTCTGAGGGAATTCTTACAGCTAACAAACACATTAGCATCAGACGATAGCCATGTCTGATTTAGAGATTATCTCTTTTGTTTTAATCACCTTCTGCTCTTCCATTAATGAAATAGCATCACTGGTGACCCCTCAGGCACGTATAAAGTTGCCTAACTCACATCTTTGTCAGTGAAGCTAAATGCTACCACATCTCTTGCCTCATGGTGCCCATCTACATTAAGATCCAGAATTCTGAGAAAAAAGTCAGAATTCTGAGATTAAAGTCAGAATTCTGATATTAAAGTCATAACTCTGAGAAAAAAAAATCAGAATTCTGAGATTAAATTAATAATTCTGAGATTAAAGTCAGAACTCAGAAAAAAAATTAATAATTCTGAGATTTAAGTCAGAATTCTGAGAAATAAGTCGGAATTCTGAAAAAAAAATTCAGAATTCTGTGACTTTTTTCCCCATATTAAACTGAATTTTTATTTTTGTCAGTGTCCCTAATCCTCTTCTGTGTAAATTTTAAATTAAGTCAAATGTTTTTTGTTTTTTTTCTTACATTAACTACTTGTGCAGTTAATGCATGTTTTTATGGTTCGAATTAATAATGACAAATAATTCCTTCAGAAATTGCTAGTAACAATCAATATTTTTCTCCTATATTGAACTGAGTTTTTTTTGTTTTTTTTTACCATCATCCAATCTTTTTTTTTTTTTTTTTTTCAAAAATTGCACAGTTTACATGAATACATGAACTTTCGTCTCCATTGTGAAAATAATACACTGTGCAGTATCCAACATTGCTGGTGTTTTAACATAAAACAAAAATGAATCATCACATTTTGCCAGGGAAAGTATAAATTTATAAAAAGATATTAAATTGTTTACACACATTTACAGTTTTTGTTGCCTTTTGATTAAGAGAATACTTAATTGTGTTGACATATTGCTTGACCTCATTGTTAAACGCAATAAAAGATATTTTGGAATGTGTAAACTTACATTTATGAATATAGAATTTTGCCAAGAGAATAATCATATTAATAATGAAAGTTTAATTTGGTCTAGTCTTAGTACTGTTGAGGTCATAACTGATTTACATTCCATCTTAAGCACCGCCCAACACTTCGAACTGCCGCACACGCTGCGGAGGGTAATCATTCGTACCCTTGGAGCGTTTCTCACGGATATGACGTCGACGCGCTGCGATTCAAACTTCAGGAAATGAAATTGTTGTTTAGGCAACGGTCACGTCGCCAGCAGAGTGAATTAAAGGCGTTTTCGTCCTCAGTTGAACCTGTAAGTGTTCTTTTTTTCGGTAGTTTGTTTTTCTCGGATATTGAGGTGATGAATCGTTAGGTTCCAGTCAGTCTTTTGTTTTTCAAAAAATTGTTATCGAAGTTATGATAAACAAGCTTAAATTAAGATAGACTCGGAAACATTACATTGAAAATGTTACATTGTTCTTTTTACTCCGAGGCCAAATTTCTTCCAAAAATGTACTCCTAAAACATCTCAGTATTTATGTATTTTTGCTAAACTCTAATTTGTGACCCATCATATAGTGTGACTGAAGCGCTTGCTGTTGCTGAGTCTCCTCACCAGTCTGAGCATCTACTAATCCTAAATTCACAGGTCTATGGTGAAATGAAGGTAGCATTCCTTACAGTTTGTTATAAGACAATAACATTAGTATAACATTACTTAGAATCATCAAACTATCCTTTAAAAACAGTTTGTGGTTAATAAGTGAATTATTAAGATGGTTTGTTATTTTTTTAAAATTTAAAATTTTACGTATAATTATTTTGTAAGGCATTATTTTCTATAAAACCTGGTTTTATTTTGCTTTGATTGCATTATTTGAAAATAGTAAAATTGTACATGTATGTATGTGTATATATATATATATATATGTGTGTGTGTGTGTGTTTGTTTATATGTGTGATTTCTCTGTTTGTAAATTAACAGTTTGTCAAAATTCCTCAAGGTTTTATCTTTCTTAAAAGACATTTTGTGCAATTTGGCAACATAAAAAACAAAAATGTGACATAATATCGCATTCTGACCTGTGCCGTTAAAAGCCTCAACAACATCCTCCTTATCAATTCTGTATCTTTAAACTCAGACACACCTCCCGTTCTGGGTCCTTGCCCTAGCCAGGTCAGCCAGTCTGACCCCAATTACATGCCAAAAAAGGTCAATAAATGTACATGGTTGCAAGGATGTGAAATGACCTGTTCAGGAGCCATAAGTATTATTATAGATCTAATAACCTGAAGCGGATGCACTAAATATTGACAATATTTAATTTTAGTTGCATCATAATGAATTTTCTAAGCTTCTAATACAAAGTATTAAAATAAAAGCATAAAAATGAGAAATCATAAATTGATATTTTTTATTTTTAGAACACTCCACATCTTAAGAGCCATGGCATCTAAAGGTGCCAAAGAAACTCTTGTCTCCAAATTGGGGTTTAAATCCAACAGCTCTGGCTCGAAGGCTGATGCAGAGCTGGAGCGGGTCAGAAAGGAGAACGCTCATTTGAGGAAGAAGATGGACGAGCTGGCCAAAAGACACATCAAGCCACCCGACTCTGACAAGAGCAAGCTGCTGGAGGTACAGGGTCCATCTTTCTTGAGTCTCTTTTTATGTATTTTTGTTGTTATTTTTAAATATATGCGCATTTGTTTTCTCCAGAGGATTCTTTCCCTTGAGACACTGCGTGAGAGGAACAATCAGCAGCTACTGGTTAAGGAGCAGGAACTGGAAGCTCTAAGACAACAGCTGTCAGCTAAGGGAGGAGAGGTGAGCACACAAAACTCTGAAAATATGTTTTTTCCATTATCCATCACACATATAAATCGACAAGCCGAGGCATTTTAGTCCTGCTTAAATGAGAAGATGCCCACAGCAGTGTTGTCTGTAACACTCTTCTGCTTGTCATTTATTTTATTTTCTCCACATTCTATCATTGCATTGGTGGCATGTGGGAAACTGACAGAAAGAGGGGGCAAAAAAACAACAGCATACTGGAATTCCAATGAGCTGCCACAAACAGACAGGGAAATAGCTTCTATCCCACTTTGACAGCAGCTCTGCATAGTAAAGTTCAGACAACCAGTGGAAGCTGCATACAAACGCATGACGTTACATTCTTTTCGCTTGACATTTATAAACTGTTTGTCTGTTGCTGCTGTCTGTATGTATTAGCATTCACGTCATGTGGCTGTTTGACACTGGACTAAAAAGTCATTCTGCTGTTGCTTTTCCTTGTGTAATATGTCTTCCATTGTTGCAGAAATGACTCTAATTTAGTGTGGTCAGAGTGGCAGCAAGCCAAACTCACAGATGACATGCCGGTAAATGGAATGTCAGCATTTTGTTTTGCTCAGACATTAATCATGCTTGCATCCTCATTAGGTTTCATCAGCAGACATGTAAGTGGCTAATGCCAGCAGCCTCCCAGCCACGCAACGTCAAACGCAAGAGAAGGATGATTCAACAGACACAAAAACAAATTAATTTATTGTTAAAATCACTCCTTAAACTACCGGGGTAAACAATTGCATTTACATACAGCCTTCTCAGCTTTTCTTTTTTTTTTTTTGTGGGTGTAGGTAGTGGCGTCGCTGCAGGCCCAGTTGGAGCAGCGCAGGAGAGAGGCAGAGCAGAGAGACGCAATGTTCCAGAGCTTGTCACAGGAAACGGAGAATCTGAAAAACAAGCTGGCCACAGTTTCTGCTCGTTGTCAGTCCCTGGAAACACAGGCCGCGGTAAGGATGACCTAAATACACTGCTACCTGTCAGGATGTTCTAATTAGACCTGAAGAGACGTCTCTCCCCTATCTGATCTGGTGGCTTTTTCTGTCCTATGTTCTGCCATACGGCGTATCTTTTCGTTTTTCTGGATAAACATTTTTGATTTTAAGTTTCATCATGGCGAACCTTACTCTAGTATATGTCTCATATATTTGCATGTGTTTTAACATGGAAAGAAAATATGAAATCATCAGAGGTAACCTTAATCTTTCTTTTTGGGTCCTTTTTAAAAGACAGCAGTAGTAGTAATTGATCTGGGTCCTTCAGAGAAGTGTGGAAAAAAAATTATTATATACTGCTTTCATGTCCAAACTCTATCACCTGGAACAGGTCAAATGTTGCATATGTCTGTCCATCTCTCTGAGGATCTATCCATATGTCTTCTTTGTCTTTCAATCTGTCCTTTTTTCAGTTAATTTTTTCATCTATTCCTTTGCTCATCCCACTGCTCATCAATCTTTTGTCACCCATCGACCGTTCTAGCTATAAGCCCTTCATTCCTCCATCTATTTAATCTTTCTGTCCCTCCTTTAATCCTCTTGACTGAAACTTAATGCATACATGTTAAAACACCTTTTTATTGATTTTTTTTTTTTTTTCATGATTGAGCAACATTTTTGGATAGAAAAAGACTAACCAGGAAAGGGAAAAGAAAATTAACATGTAACTAGTAATTTCCATCTTAAATCCATAAATCCGTTTGTTTTATTCTTAATCCATTTGCTAATTTGTCTGCTGAGTTGCCATCCGTTCACTCATCTAGAGTCCTTTAGTTATTGTTTTTCTACATAAGATAAAAGCACAGCCAAGATTTTTACTTTTAATCTTTGGAAAACGTTTTGATTTAAATCTGTTGGAGCCCTGAGACCTCTGCAAATGAAGGACTAGTTTAGAAGAAGTGCAAAATTTGGATGTGAAAAGGGGGAACGGCACAGCATAGTCCAGCTAATAAAATGTTTCCCAATTTAGAATTGAATCATACAACAGCTTTCAAAATTTACCTCTAATATCAGTTCAATCTTGTATTTTTTTAGTTTAAAAGTACAGATTAATAAGATTCTTATCCTTTTTTTTTCCCACCAAAATCTCAAACTATTAACTGTAACTAATAACTGCTTTATCTTTTATTACAGAAAACATGTAGAAAATATTTATTCTATACTATATCATAACTTTAAGAGTAGTGCTGCAAAACATGCTTCACAAATATAGATTTTTATCAGTGACTGATGGATAGAAGTGGGAAAACCTGCAGGTGTTCTTTTCTCCATTAGGTGGCAGTGTTCAATCTCAGACTACTGACATCACCTTCTCCCTGGAGCCTCCTCACCATTGTATCATGAAGGGTTTATTTCTCAGAAATGCGTCTGTTGTAGTAAACTCTGTATCAGTGGAACCATGATGTTTTTTTTCACCAATATCAAATCCATCTAGCATCAACAGTTTAACCAAGAGAAAAAGGGAACTCCTATTAGCCTCTTCTTTTTTTACTGTAGAACTAGCACTGCTGCATTGATCATATTGGGCGTGTTCCTAGGCTGTAATGAAGTATAACCTCAATTTTTTCCATAAAAAATTATTTTTATCCATTATTCTTTTATATTTTATTAATGTATCACCCTTGCTCTTTCTCATGTCCTGGTTTTCCATGTTACACATTCAAATCTTTACCATAATGTAAATATTTCTTCCCAAGATTCAGTCTTGGCTTTGGTATTTGGCATTTTAAAAAAAGGAAAAACTGGGAGCAACTGAATTGGATCCTGGAAGAGGATGACATTTTTATCAGGAGAATGTGTGGATATTGAAATCACGCTTGAAGGCATCTAGTGACATAATATGATCTGACCAACATTCTGCTAGGGATGGAGACTGCAGAACTAACTGCAGAGTTGGTGACCTAGGTCATGTAGCTAAGACTTTCAAACGTAGCAGAGCATAGATTCATCACTTGCTGCTGTGTATTTCTTGCATTATTAAAAGTTTTGACTAAATAATTTAAATCTGCAAGCTGGTGTGTCATTTCTGAGTCTGTGGTAGATCTGTAGTTTTGTTTTTTCTTGGAACTGAACACGGGAAAAAAAACATCTCAGCGGCATCTGTCACTTGATGGTTAACATGACCTGTCTTGGTATTTTAGGTTGTTTTTTTTTTTTTTTTATTAGATCCTTGCAACAGCATTACAGGAGAAAATAATTTGTTTTTGAAAAGCTCAGATGTTCCAACCATTTTGTTATGAAAAATAAATATTTTTTCCTCCACAAGGATTTGAGAATACAGACTCATTGGAGATTAAACCTAGCCTGTTTTAGAATTGCCTTAACTGATTTTCACTTATAAGCGCTGGTTTAAATGTGAGTGCTGTATTATTATCAGAGCCTTGTAGTTCAGCCATTTCATGAAATCTTTATTCTTCCTTTTCAGAACGGGCAGGCACCTGCTGCAGAGTTGGTACGAGTGCAAGATCAACTCAAAGATGTGAGTCCATTTGGACTTTTTGTATTTCTTCATGGTTTCCTTTGGATTCTCTATCATTTATTAAATTTCTTTGCAAGATTGATTACATAGAATAGAATTCAATTTTATAGCCCAGGTGTCTGTAACCTGTGGCCCAGGAGCCACATGCAGCTCTTTAGAACGGGGCTTGTGATTCAATAAGTTTATAACGTCTCAGCAAAGAAATAGAAGAATATTATTTTTCATTAAGTCATTTTGTTGATACATAACTTAAAAATATATAAGCTCATTTAATAAAAATTTATTGAACCTAATTTTTTTTCTTTAATTTAAAAAAGTCAGAATGAATATCCCTAGTAGCTTTTATAAAGATAAGGAAGGTTTATGGTATAGAAGGGTAATTTCCCAAAATGCATTACTTTGGATCAAAGACAAAAACCCCTCTACTAGACCATTAGAACACATGTATTTTAGGACCATAGCCTTTCAATTTTAGCTCTGTTTAAAGTCACTGTCCTTCTCAAACATAAAGCTCAATCTATCTGCAGCCTATAACTTTTTTTCTTTCACGGTTGCCTTGTAACTACCTCCGTCCATCCTCCAATCAGCTGATTTCTGTATTTAACATGACTACACATTACCATGGAGACCCTGAACTGATGCCTTCTAATTTGGTTTCACAAAATTATTTAGCAAGTTTAGAGCACAAGAATCTGAGCGTCACATTATTTGTATCAGATTCCTGTGTAACACTGGATCAAACTTTTTTTAACATAATTTTTCTTCTCCCTTCTTATCAGTGTGAAAAACTCTTTAGTATTATGTCCAAAAACTTGAAGAACCTTTGTCTGTAATTTTCTAAATAAGGTTGTCATTTTTTTTTTTCTCTTTAAGCTTATGTTTGTATTACCACACAGGATACCGGGTGTTTTTTTATAAAAAATTATCAAATCTTTCCTTCAGGCTCTTGAAAAGAACCAGCAGTGGTTGGTCTACGATCAGCAGCGAGAGGTTTACGTTCAGTCAGTTGTTGCCAGAACGATGGAGTTGGAGCAGCAGCTGGCTCAGGCCAAGGAGCAGCAGGAGAGCAACATAAAACCCAGCTCTGATGGTAAACGTACATTACATCCCTATGCTTCCATACAGAATATGAAGCCTTTGTATTAAAGGGTTTGACATCCCTGGCTTCAGATACATAAAGTAGACTAATATTATTGGTGTATTCTTTTTAAGGTCTAAGCAGGGCTGCTGGTTATTAAAAAAAACCTGTCTTTGCAATCACTATATCAGCTGCTGTATGTGCAACTGGTATAGTCGACTGATAAATGCCTGTTTTCCTCTCACTCTGTGACCTTTAGTATTTTCAGCAAAGTAATTTGAGGCTGGTGTAACCAGGGGCGGGTGAATAAATCAATGAATCACATTTTCTGTTTATGAAGCCTTCATCTTTGGATAATCTGGATTATTTTTACACTGCACTCTATTCGTTCATCACTTTGTGTTCCTAGATAATCTGGTTCATTGCCTACAGACTACCTAGAGTTATTTTGTATGTTATGTTTTTATTGTTTAGCATCGCCTGTAGGGCCTGGCAACCTTTTCCATAAGCATGTTTCTCACTTTGGATTTAGCTGCTCTTTGAATTCAGGTCAACTCCCAGAAGGACTGATAGAAGTAAGAGCATAAGTCCGGTCAGGAAGGAATAAACAATGGATCATTATCTATGCCTAAAACTAATATGTTTGCAGTGATTTAATGAATTTAGCATTAATCAATAAAAAAATAAAAGTATCGAGTCTGGGATCTGCCATTTTTGCCCAAATATACTAACACCTCACTCCTGACATCTCACTCCTGATATAAGCCCAGCGCCATTCTCCCCGCTTTACAAGCAAAATCAATGGGAACTATTATACATCCATGCAATCAACAACAATTTTTTTTAGATTTCGAGAGAACTTTACCATTGAAATTCACGAGAGCTATAGTTAAACTGACAATGCCCACGTGCATGGCAGTTGGATGTTGCAAAACATTGTGTAAAAGTGAAAAAAAAAAACAAATTAGTTATTTCACCTTTCTGATTCATGATCCACGGGTTTGTTGTTGGATTGCCAACTTGAAGAAGGGGGATTTGCCATCGAATTTCTGGCCAGAGGAAAAAAACACATATTTCGCCAACAATTCTTGGAAGAATGTTTTCAAGATGACTTGGATAATAGCGCGTTGTGACAAACACCAGATAAAGCACTAGGACTTGCTTAACAGCCGATGCCGCACCGTGACGTCATAAACCATAAAGATGGTAGTAGACATGGATGCCTCCAGTAAAGCACATTCAAATTAAAATTAGTCTTAATTAAAAACACTTATCATTTATTGAACAGTATGTAAAAAATCTTATATTTAAAGTACTTTCAGAAGTTTTAACTCTGACTGGATTTTTCCTTTAAAAATATTTCTATGATTTGTCATCATGAAACTAATGAGACTAACGGACTGGATAAATAGAGCATTGGCATGTGATGAAGGATTGATATGGCTATATATTTTTGATATGTTGCAAACTGTTTTGTTTTTCTTTATTTCTCTTCTGAAACAAAGATGATCTGATTTTTAACAGATAATGAAATCCGACAATATACAGCTAAACAAAAATTAATAAAATTATGAATATAGTCCTATTTAATAATCTGAGGAATTTACAAAAGAACTCTATTAAAATTGTCTGTGGAAGCCTTTCCATCCTCAATGGGAGGTCTAATATTAACTCCCTTTCTTTCCTCCTCTTCTCTCAGCTTCAACCAACAGTCAGGCTTCAGAGAAGGAATCTGGCTTGAAAGAGCACTATGAACGGTTGCTTTCAGATATGAAGAAAGACCTGGAGAGCGAGAGAGATCAAACTGCCAAAGCCCAGCAGGAGTCAAATGTTCAGAAAGAACAGGTAAGCCATGCAAAATAGCAACAACCTCTTGCCTAACAAATATTACCTGAATAGAAACAAATAGCAGCTTTTGGAATGTTATCATGTAATAATGAAAGAGAGTTATCTGGGAACCCCCATTGGTCAATATTACCGGCAACAGAAAAAAGGCTCCAAAAGCAAGAGTAGTTTAATGAAATATTTTGAAATGAAGAACCTGAAGACATTTAGTCTGGACTGACAAAAAAATACATTTCTAAGGTGTTTGTAATCTGAAACCAGGGCGATGATGAGGGTAATGTTTCATTGCTTTAGGCTCTAAATTACTTGACGAATTTAGAGCCATCTTATTTACTTGGGTTATCTTTTTGGAAAAGTCCATCAGTTAAAAATGTGAGAGGACTTTTTTTTCTTGTTGTTGGGTTTAGTTTTTTGTTTTTTCGAGTGACCAAGCCTGCCAAGCATGATGGCACAGAAATACTTTTTAAGAAAAATGGGTTTGTTCCCTCCAAAAATGAAAATAGGGCTGTTAAAAGAGGTCAAATGAAGAAAATAAACTAAAGTTTTTAACAAAACAAAACTGACCTACAACACAACAAACAAAAGGGTTATAAATACTGACTGATCAGAGCATATTGACACACTGAGGAGGAGGGAAGGGAAACATCTACACAAATTTAACTCTCAAAATGAACTAAATAGTTAGCTTAAGGGTGAACTTCAATGACTAAAGACAGTTAACAAAATGAGGAAATTACAAAAATTAGAAAACTGACTTTGTCTCCCCCCATGGTGGAACTCAAGATGGTATCACCCAATTAGCCATTCAGTCCATTGCTTCCACAGGGTTCCCGCGGGTCCTTAAAAAGTCTTAAAATGCATTGAATTCTTCAAAATAAAACTAAGGCCTAAAATGGTATTAAATGTCTTAAATCAGTCTTTTGTAGGTCTTAATTTTTTAAAACATCATAAATAGGATTATTTTTATTATGATTTATTTTTGTAATCTAAATAAAACATTAAAATTAACCTTTTTTTTTTATTTATTTAAAAAAAAACAATGGCTCGCTATCATTGATTCCGTCCCGATAGGCCGGGACATTTGGGAGATGCGCCATTTACTTTTTGTCTGGAAAATATGTGTAAGTGTAAATGTAACGAAAATTGGCTCCAGCCAAGAATTTTCTCCATGAATAAAACTAGTGTTGTGCTGATGCCATTTTTTGGCCCCGATACTGATACCCGATACCTGGCTGTGCAATATCGGCCAATACCGATTCCATAATAATTTAAAATAATTGCCATCATGGCTTTGTCAAGCTGCTGCCTACCTTTGGGAAGCCAGAAGAACCTTTTATTGCCTACCAGGAGTGGGTGACAATAGTTGAATAAACTTATGGCTCTCAAAATGGTATTGGTGCCCTATTTGTTGGTACTCGCCGATACCGATACCACCATTTTAGGGCAGTATCGGGGCCCCGTCCAATACTGGTATCGGTATCGGTGCAACACTAGATAAAACCAGTACCAGGGAACATATATGAGGCACAGTTGATTTTGTTCAAGAAGTCATTCAAGCTCGGAACGATGGGAATTAAGGCAGTGGAGTCGCACATGCGAAGCGCGAAACAAAAGGCGTCAAAATTGAGTTACCGAGAAACAGCCGGTATTTCTCAGTTTTGTTCCACCCTTGTCTCTGCAATGCCTCCACTTATCACCAAATCAAACATACTAAGAAAACAATACAAAGAAAAAGACTTAGCACTGGTTATGTTGTGGCTTTAAAACTGATTTGTTTTTTTTGCCTGCTAAAACAAAATTTGTGAATTCAGTTAAATAATTGTTAAAATATATCTGTTATTTGTGTGTTTTTAGCTCTTCCTGTATGGGAAGCTTTTCAGAATATGAAACATTAGTGCAGTGGTTTATGTTATGATTTCTTGTGAATTTGGTCTTAAATTTTTATTTCAATTGGCATTAAAAAGTCTTAAAAAGACTTGAATTTAACTTGCCTTATGCTGTAGGAACCCTGTTCCAGCTCATGGTACTCCCCGACAGCACCAGCAAAAGAAAGAACAAATAAAGTATCTGACAGAATTAAATATACAAAGGTTAACTACAATTAGACCTAATGTATTTCAGTACTGTCAAACAAAAATATGAACAAACATCCATGTATTTATGTTGCAGTGACTTTGTATTAAAAAAGACTCAAAATTAAAGTGTTTGTTTGTAGAGTTACCGACTACATACATACATTCAGAAATAATGGAGTAACATGATCTTAAACCTGCTTTTGATGTAGCTGGAATAAAACCTTTGTATAAACAAGGGGCGACCGATGTTCTTTCACACCGATCTGTAAGACTTGTTTCCAGGTAACTCGGTGGCTTGATGCACGGGCAGTTGTTAGGATCAAGAGCAGTTCTATTTTCAAAAGGGAGAAAGGTTGTTTTAAAGCTTTTCTTACCCATAATATGAGGCTTGTTTGAAATCTGCATCTTATTTACTTAGGTTATCGTGTTGGATTTTAAAATACTATAATGAAAAGCTCTTGTCATCATTTCCCCCATTGAGCTGGGATTCAAATTCATTGACATTCCCTTTGAAAAAGATTGCTTCAGCACTGAATCAGTATGCAGCTGAACATCCAGAGTCCTTGGATTCAGACATCTTTATAATTGATCTGCAGAGCTGGATTGAAGTAAGACGGAAAACAAACTGTTTTTGCATTTTCTTTCATCGCCTCCGCAGACCTTGAAGGCTCAGGCTGAGCTGCAGCGTCAGAGAGAGCAGGTCAGCAGAATCCAGGAGGAGATGTGTGCGCTGCAGAAGAAGTACGAGGACAAGTGCTGCGAGTTGTCGGCCTATAAGAGGAAATACGAAGAGAGGGGTAAGGAGCTGGATGAGACCAAGATCCAGCTTCAGGCGGAACGACTTGGCAACAGGTAAAACCAGTGTGTTATGGGATGACATCAGACAGAAGAACTTTTCTCATCAATACTCTGTCAAAGATCATCCGTGTGCATAGAAATGACTCAGGCCTGCGGCAAGAAATAAAGCTGAGTTTTAATTTAGACTTAAGATGTAATCATTGAGTAAATTCCCTCATAAAGCTCCTCATTTATGTCGAATAGCGTACCTTTTCTCTGTTTATGTGGATCAAAAACATCTAGACATGTAGCGCACGAAGAAAGAAAGGTGTCATCTGAAAGGACAGACCGGATGAGAGCCGATCTGGAGAGGGTGGAAAAACGACTGGACGAGGAGAAGAAGAGATCTGCTGAGCTGCTGCAGCAGGTCAGATCCTGGAACTAATCAAACAGTTTACTGTGAGAAATGTCATTTTTCAAAAGCAAAGTCCCGCTGCTGTTTTTCCACCATTAGGATGCAAACTATCAGCTCATGTAAGCTGTAAGACGGTCATTTATTATCCAGACATCACTTATGAGAGAAATTTCTTTGGGAGGAAACAAATATGTTTTTGCGAAGTGACGGAATTTGTAAACGTTTAAAAAAAAATGGCTTTAAGGTAATTAAATGATTTTATGTCATTTAGGGATATAAGTAGTAGATGTCATGCAACACAAGCAACATTTAGACCCCAACAGATTATTAATAATACAGAATAAACAGAAATCAATAGGTTTATCATTTACAGTGTCCACACTATAACTTATGTGTTTAAAGTATACCAACCTTTCTTTGTCATGGACAGACAGAGGAGGTGTCAAAATATTGAGTGGTCCATCTGCATGAGATTTGAACGAGCTTTAAGAACATCAGCCAGGGAATTGTTGGAGCAAGTATTGGGAAAAGTTACCCTCAGTTTGGAGCTACATCTTCACATGATGAAGATGATAATGAGGAACATGAAAGCTTACAGGTTCTGGAAAGGAGGTTGATCAGTAAGCAAATGGAATCCTAGTCGCAAACACCATTAGTATCCCACGATAATGTATTGGACAGAAATTTTGCCTCAGTGTACAGACTTATGTCAGGTTTCCCTGTAAACCTCTAAGAAATCACCAAAGGCCCGGTTGAACGTTCTTGTTTCTATTAACTCAGACTGCTTTTGAAGAAGAATGTTGAATCTGATCTAAAGAAAATCATCTTAACAGTGGATTTCTGTTTCTGCTAGGGTTACAGGTAGTGCTTCACTGCATTTAGAGGCTAATATGGATTTATTCTCTTCCATTATTGTTGCAAACAAAGAACACATTTTTAAATGTAAATTTTAAAAAAAAAAATCTATCTAGAATCAAAACAATTTTTTTATTAGATACTCTCAAAACCTTTCTTTTTTATTTCTAAGATTTCTTCCACATTTTGTTGTTGTATTTATTTTAATTTTTTTCTTTTGTTTCAAATTTTGTATTTTCATTAAAGGTTGGTATTTTTTAAATTTTTCTTTTTCACACTGAATTTTACAAATTGCATTTTTTTCAAATTACTTTTCACAGATCAAAATACAAACACCAAAAAGATTGTAGAAATAGAAAAGTGCACCCCCAGAAGCGAAGAGAACAAATCTGGAAAAGAGAAATTAGGAAAAAAAAAATGAAATTTACCCTTTAAACAATTTTTATAATTAAGAAAGTTTAATTTCTGGATTGCATCTTCTTTAAATTTCTGCTTACAAGAATACAGAAACAAAATTGACTCCATAATAAACACAATGATGTATTGTAAAAAACATGTAACGGAAAGGTAAAGATGGTTTATCGGTGACGCTACGAAGTTGAAATATACTTTTAGATGCGCTACTAATGCAACATTGGAGTGGCCAAAGAGGCAACACGTTAACATGGAGTGACCTGATCAGTTTCAGACCTCAGTCCTGCAGAAAATCTGCAGAGGGAGCTGCAGCTTTAATTTGGCCAGCAGCAACCAGGAAACCTAATGGGTTTAAAAAGTGTGTCGGAACAGGATTGGATCAAATCCCTGCTACAGAGAAAGTTTTACTGCTGGTAAAGGTTACTCCCTAAGTTTTATGATTTTTTTTTGATTGGGGATAAAAAAAAATATTTTGTTAGAAGCAATTTTCAAATTCAGTAAGATGTTTTTTTTATATATATAGGCTATATATTTTCAACATGAACCCCATCATTTTTAGAAACTGTTTTTATTTTTGAGCAAATGGAATCAAATACCTTTTTTATCCTGTGTACTTTCAAAGACCTTTGAAACAAGAGGCTAGCAGATCTGCTAGATGCTGACAAATATGAATAAACCAACACTTTTGAATCAATTTTACATCTGTTCATGCTAATGTATTCTGTTCTGCCTGGATATATATTTTTGTATGTGTATCTCATTTTAATTTTGACTGCATATTTTGCTGTTGAGCTCTCACCCCGAGCTAAATCAGGTTTGTAATAATTGCTTTTACCTTTCAGTGTAGTTTAATACGATTGATTCCCCTGCCTCGATAATTTGATCCTTACAGGTGAACATGCTGCAGAAGTCAATCATCGACCAAAATGAGGAACACAGGAGAATTGCTGCTCTGGAACAACAGGTAATGCTTATTTAGAGACAAATTTAGGGGTTAAATTATATAAAATATGGCTTCTTTTTTTGTTTTTATCAGGTATTTAGTCCTAAAATGTCTACTTATGTTAAAACTTGCATGTCTTCCTTAGATTCAGCTCTCTGCCAAGGACTTTGAAAATGAAAAACTTGACCGTCAGAGCATGCAGGGGCAATTACAGAAAGTGCTGAAAGAGCTCCGCAAAGCCCGTGATCAAATTGCTAAACTGGAGTCTGCTGTAAGTGTCCTCAGTCCTTCTAAATGCCACCCAGAAATTCCTAATTTGGACTTTTTTTAACTCTTGTTTTCAAAAGGGACCCTATTGTCTGAACATTTGCTGTCACAAAATAATTATTTAAAGGCAATTAAGACACAGTCTATCTGTTATTTTGTGATGATAAATAAGGGAGCACATTCTAAATAAAAATATTGTTTTCTTTTATATTCCAGAAGCAGCAAAGTGCCCGTTTTTCAGAGCCCAGCTCATATAATAATCTGGAGTTTGAGCGTCTTACTATTGACGACCCCACATCCCCGTCTAAAGTCATCAGCCTCCTGGATGAGAGTTTCCTGGAGTGTCCAAGGTGTCAAGCTTCCTATCCGACCAGTCGCCACAGAGAGCTGCTGGCCCACATCGACTACTGCTTAGCCTGATGTAGCCTCCTAGATCGGTAGTTAAGAAATGTCACATAGATCTTAACAATATTCAGGCTAAAAATATTGGGATTCCCCTGATTACCGATTTTTTATTTTTTTTTTAAGCCATTTTAATAATTTGGGGAACTGGTTTCGACCTGATGAGGCTTCTTATCTTTACAGAACGTCATGTCAGACACATGCAGTTTTATATTTGGATTGAAGGGACTTAAATGTTTTTATTTTTTTAGGATTTTACAACAGTTTCCTTTTTTAACAATTTCAAGCTGGATCATCTTTATTATATTTAGCCTTGAATATGTTTCAAAGTCCTCCACTTTTTTTTTTTTTTAAGCCATAGCAGCACTGATCATTTAAAGACAGGTGAAGGTTTTCTTCCCATTTCTATATGCTCTTCTTTTGTGGTTCAGATTTGTATCGCGTGTTTCATTGTATTTATTCTTGGGTATCTTATAGGTTGAGGAAAGTATATATTTTTTTGATTGAATTATGTGTATTTAATATTGCGTAATCATGGGGCATCTATCTTTTTTTTTTAAACATCAGAGTTTACAGATCTTTATTGTATATTATGCTCCAGTGAATCAGACTCCTACAGAATCATCATTTCCACTCCAGATATCCGTAACTTTACCTTTTGATCCCATCGTGTTGTTGATTATGCTATATCTTGTGTTAAGTGGGAAAAGTGCAGCTGTGATTGTTTACCATTTTATAGTATTTAAGTGAAGGACAATATGTGGTAATTTTCTACACTCCAGTTGTTTTGTCTATTTTCAACTCCATTAACTGGTGTTTACGATGTCCATCTAATTAGCCACATGTTTTATTTTAACTGTGGTACCGCCCTAGTGCTGTAGCAGCTGTTCCTTCAAGCTTGTTTCACACGCTTGGATAAAGTTGCTGAACCATGACTTGGATTGTTTGGGGGTTTTTCCCCCCTCCCTAGTTTTTACTTTCTTCAGATCAAACAGACCCTTAACAAGTAGGCGTGGCGAGCTTTACTAGTCACATGTGTCGGGTTGTCTGACCATCCATCCCTTCAGTCACAGCCTTTGACTTTTTAAAACCTGCAGCCCTGGAAAGAGATTGCATGAGTTAAGTCCTTGAACTAAACCATTTACAGTTGGGATTACTAAAGGTCTCCTTGTTGGGAGAAAGGTGTGTTCATTCCTGCCATCTTGGCAACGAGATCAGGTAGATTTAAGGCAGACAGACGGTGCTGTGACTCCAAGGGTTGCTTATTTTACTTTCACTTGTGTTTTAGTAGAATCATCAGGGGATTCTTTTGTTTTCCAGCTGATGTTTCTAAGTGATTTTTGATGTATTTTAATCATGTGCTCCTGCATTGTTTTTGCTGTGCTCAGTACTGTCCACAAATGTGCAATAAAAAATATAAATCTCAAAAAGCATTTGTTTGGTGTTATTTTTGTCTCACTGCTGTAATTCTACGTAAACACCACAGCAGTTCCTGAAGCTGGTGTTGCAATCCCCATATTGGTTAATGAGATTGCTTCTTGATTATGATTGTTTGCAACGATTAAGAAAGAAAAACAACCTCGTCACAAATGGCAGTCTGGTTGCAGGTTTCTATCACGGATTAAAACCCCCTGAAAAAAACTGGTACTGATTATTATAGAAGATTTTTTAATAAACTGGCAGAGACGTTTTAGATCTATGCTTCTGTTTTCTGCAGTTTTATTTTCTCCCAATGATTTTTAGGGGATGCTTTGCTGCAGCAGGACCAGACCTGCTTACCAATATAGATTTCACCATGATCTCTAATGTATACCAGAGGGAGCTTTGGGGAAAAAGATGATCTGCACAAAAAAATATAAACCTATGCAGAACTGTTAACATGATCATACAGATAATTTACTAAGGACTCGCTTATGATGAAGAATTAGTAAAGTCCCAGATTTTCATGCTGTGGCGGAAATTGAAATTTGCTGTATGTGTAAGAAACCCCTCAGACAATGTGATACCTGTGGATGGCTTCAGGAGACCTAAATTATAGCAGCTGAAGGGCTTTAGACTATCAGGTAGTTTACGACAAAATGTTTTCCTTTGATTATTAAAAATATAACCTTATCAAAATATTACGATATCATTTTTTACCCCAACTCTTATCATTCGATTTTCCGACATTATGAGGACTTTTCTACAGTATCAGGAAATTAAGAATTTCAACAGTCAAATGTTTGAATGTTTTATTTTAAATACAGGATCTAGTACACATCAGTCAAGGTTAACAGACGGAGCCAATACTAAACACATTTAACACCTATTTGATATTACAGTTTAATAATATACAATTGTGCTTTGTTTGAATGTTCTTCTGTAAAACAAAAAAAAAGCCTTTTCTATAAAGTTGTTAGAATTCTTAGACGCTTGGATCATCGGAGGATTTCTCAAGTGATTATAACTTCAGTGATCAAACAAATAGCTGTTCAAATATGTTTAAAAATAAGGCAACAGATGTTCAAGATTTTCCCTGAAATTCAGGGAAAGGAAAGCTGACAGTAAATGTGAAAGCTTGGAGTTTGTGTGTTTTAATTTATAAAAAAGAGAGTAAACCCTTTCCTGTGAGAGATTGTGAGGAAAGGTTGAAGAACAGATGGGATTCAATCTGAAACCAGCAGAAAGGAAAATGGAAGCATCAAGAAATGTGTCACTGAGGTGGCTCTGCATTTCCACTGTTCTCACAGAAACCTGCAATACAAGAAGAAGAAAACGTAGCTTATTAAAGATACATTTATCAAACACACTGCTTTATATTTTTCTCTCTTTCATTTATTCCACTGCAGATTGTATCCAGCTGGAAATGCATCAGGATGATTTCGGAGTGTGCATTCCTCTAATCAATCAATGAGATGATCATGAGGTTTGACTCAACATAAGTTAATCATTCATTTGGTCTTTCACCTCATTGAATAACACGATTCTGTACCCACCCCCGATCAATAGAGGTTGGTAAGCAGCACTCATAGGGAATGGACTCACCGGTGTGTGCTACACGTCTGTATTTGCCTAAAAGACAGATGTCCATCTTCTTCTGCGTGATGATGGCCTGATCCTCTGGCCTCAGGCCAGTTGGGTGACGTGAGAAGACGAAGGAGTAGCTGTCCAAGCACGTACCGTCTGCGTCGAGCAGTCTGCACGAGTAGTGGATGGCATAGTTATCGTAGTCGGTGTCGATAACCCAGTGTTCGTCATCTAGAGTCATGGAGAGTTAGAATATTTGCTTCAGTTTGATCAAATTAATGTTTATCTTCATAGCACCCAATGGACCCATGAATTCTGTTCACCTCATCGAGGCCACACTGAAGTTTAGAACAGTCAAAAGTAAACAGAGGGCCTGGATTCAGCAACCCTGCTATGTGATTAGGTAATAGTATCTCTGAATTTCAGCAGACAGCTGAGCTGCCAGGTTGGATTTAGGGGATTTTTGTTCCCTTTTATCTCTATTGTGAGTCCAGTCATGCTTACTCCCTGTCTGCAGGTAAGAAGCAGCTCCCCAGTACTTCATCCTAAACTTGGCAGGGTCAGGAGATTCCTCAAAGGTAGCAAACATGTGGGCACACATTTCCCAGTTGCTGAGAGTCAAAGAGAGACAAAGACAAGGTAAAAAAAATAAATATTCAGTGATTTATGTATAGAGAGCAGGAAAGTCCGCAGGGAGAAGAAGAGAAACCTACTTCAAGATGATGACTCTACCCTTAGCAGTAGCGGTCATTGTGCCATCTTCTCCAATGGTAAACTGGGCGACGACGTTGTCAAGTAAGAACAAACCCTCTGGGTCCTTCTTTCCTACAGCATACCAGGTCCCTGCATACTATTGGGAAAAGTTTTCTTCATTAAACCATGCAAGTTTTACTTCCAAATGATTGTATTTTACTCACAACTTACCCTGGTTTTGTCAAAGTCCTGCTTGACTTGGAAATTCTCAATCTTGCAATCCTGTGCCCAGGACAGTGCCAGAAGGCAAAGAGCCACAGTGAACCTTAGCATTCTAGAGGAAAGAAAAGGTAAGCGGTTAGATTCAGACAGTCTGGAGGAAAAAAAAAGCAAGGAATACCAGAGCAGAAAGCTAAACCTTTCTGGCTGTTATTTTCCCTGAAGTTCTCAGCTCAGATTGAGTGGATTCTGATGAAATTCCTCAAAATAAAACCTCAAAAGAATAAAAAGATAAACCTCTTCATGATGCATACCTTGGTCGAAAAAGAAGTGGCTTCCTCAGAGAGATTCCACTCTTCAGTGTCCCCCCTGGCTTTATATACAGCTGCCTGCTATTGCATAAGAACATTCAGGGGTCCTAAACCTCCCCTGCTCACCATAGCATTACATTGCACAAACATTTGCATAACTCTGTGTGCTGGTCCAATTGATTTGTGTGTTATGATTTACTGCCTCCCTTGAATCAACCTTTTTGGAGAAATATCTGCCCTAACTTCTGAGAATTTCTAGGTCTAAAGAACAAAATGGATAAGAAGAGTCGACACTTTTAGGATTTTTACATAGATTGTTAAAACATGAAGTCCATCTGTTGTGTTTGGAGCTGAGCTGTTAACTTAGAGAGTGTCTTAACACAAAATTAAGAAATATGAATAGAAATCTCCTTTGTTTGAACTGAATTTTGGGTTCGTTTTTAAGAACTTTCAGAAGTTATAAGTGCTCCCAGGCCATCATCGCTGTAATTATATCAGCTGCTGCTTTATCTGGGAGTACTCAGAGTGTTTGTATAAAACAAGGACAAAGTCCACTCTACTTTGCTACAATCGCTTACAGTCAAGATCTTCTTTATCCTTTAAAGATGCATTTTTTGGGGTTAAACAGATAGAAAGTTTTCACAAAATGTTTTACATACAAAATCTGTGTGGGGTTAAGTTTTTTATCCAGGCCCTCAATCTGATAACCCTTTATAAGACCAAGTGCAGTTTAAGAGTCACCTCGAATGTTTATCAAAGGTTATCAAAGAATCCCAAGCGTGGATAGATGACACAACAGAAAACTTAAAGGTATAGTAGTGGATGCTCTTTTTCCTGGTGGATCTTCAAAAAAAGTGGTCCTACTAATTGTCAACCATTCTGGTGATATGTTTACGTAAGGCCGTCCTACGTGCTCAGTCTGGTCAGTCTGACATAGTGGGAAAACTGAAAATCCTCTTTTGGAAAGTAAGCTTGTATGAGCGATGAAAACAACTTTTAACGAGAGAGTGCATGGGGAGAAATGGGCTTGTGCATGCTCTCACACGCATTTAATAGTCGTTTACTCTCGGGAGTAGGTACAGGGTTGTGCATGTGCAAAATGGAGAAAGCTATACCGAGACGGCCATGCTTAGACCAGAGAAAATTAATCAGCAATGCTGCATTGAAGCCCATAGTAACTTTGAAGGAGCTGCAGAGATCAAAGGTTCAGGTTATGAACATTGACTGTGGCTGGCTGGATGTGCTCTCTTCATCCTCTGACATGGGAGCTGGCTCAGAGCTCATCTGCCTGGCTGTGTGTTTCCTGGACGGGGCCGACTTTTACAGTTGCTTTTTGTATCTCTGTTTCTGTCTTCTTGAACCCCAGTGGGCCTCGGCAGATGCCGGCTCACAGTGAAACTGGTTCTACTGGAGGTTTCTTCCTGTTAAAAGGGAGTTTTTCCTCTCCACTGTCGCTACAAGCATGCTTAGTGTGAGGGATTGTATTTGAGTCAATGAGTCGATGCAATCAACTGGTTTTCGTTAGATAGAAAACTTTGAATCAATTTGACTGTATGATCTGTTGAACTGTATAGTGCCCTCAGATGACATGTGTTGTGAATTAACACTATATAAATACATTGAATTGAACATTTGGTAAAAACAACAATTCCCTCTATAAGTCTGAGCAATATGTTGGAGTTGCAAGATTTCTGAATAATTGAAAATAAATAAGTTTTATTTGACTACTGTAAAACGAAAAAACGAATGAGGGTAAAATGGAGCCAGAGATCTACAGGCCAATTGGTGCAGCGTCTGCTGTGAAGTGGGCGCTGTACCGGTCCGTTGGGGTGAAAGAGCGGAGCCACAAGCCAAAGCTAGCAATTTACTGGTTGATCTACGTTCCTACCCTCATCTATGATCATGAGCCAAAAGAACAAGATCCTGGATACAAGCGGCTGAAATTAGTTTTCTCCGTAGTGTGTCTGGGCTCCCCCTCAGAGATAGGGTCAGGAGCTCAGTCATCCGGGGAGGACTCAGAATAGAGCCGCTGCTCCTCAACATCAAGAGGAGCCAGTTGAGGTGGCTTGGACTTCTGGTTAAGATGCCTCTTGGATGCCTCCCTGGTGAGGTGTTCATGGCAAGTCCCACTGGGAGGAGACCCAGGGGGAGACGCATGACACATTGGAGGGACTACGTTTCTCGGCTGGCCTGGAAAGAACTTGGGATTACCCCAGAGAAGCTTGCCCAAGTGGCTGGGGAGGAGCACATCTGGGCCTCCCTACTAAAGCTGCTACCCCGGCGAACGACCCTGAATAAGCGAAGACGATGGGTGGATGGATGGATGGATGGATGGATGGATGGATGGATGGATGGATGGATGGATGGATGGATAGATGGATGGATGGATGGATGTCTAAACTTAATGTATATGTGCATTAGGCATAACAAGCATGTAGAGACTGTTATGATCAGATAAAATGAAAGAACATTCAGGTCTAAATGACAAACTGGTTGGGGGAAACTAGCATCCTGAACACAGTATTCATACCCCGATGGATGCTTACATTTGCTGGAAAAAAGACAGAGTTGATGGGAGGATGCATGGAGTTAAGGAGGCCAACCAGGAGGAGTCTACAAAGGACTCTTCAGACCCTGTGTTTGCATTAGGATTAATCCAACTGTGCATCTCTGGAAAGACCATTTACTGTCCAATCTGACTGGGTCTTGTATGATATGGTGTGGTATTTTATCATAACAAAGCACAAACAATTAAGTATAAACATGTGCAAAGGTGCAAATTATTCACACATTTAGCCACTTAAATGTTCGAAAAATGTGGGCCTACTAACTTATAATTCCGAGGGTTGATTGTTTTCTTTTCCCTTTTTGCCCCCCTTCTGTTCTTTTAATGTTTTGTGTTGGCCTATCATAGAAAATGTCCATTGGCACATAATCCACTATGAAAAAGATGAAGGGTGTGAATACTTTTACAAGGCATTGTATGAGCAGGGTCACATAACAACTGTCCACATCTGTTTTTCAGTCTGTCCTCTGCAGACCTATTACAAACAGGCTGGGATTTTGCTCTGAGATCGCAGAGCCACGCCTCTGATTTTTAACAGAGGCACAGTGGAGCCAAACATCTGTAGCTTTCGCAACCGAGGCCCAGGCCAGCAACAAGGAAGGAACACTGCTCTAGCTTTATTAAACGTAAATATTAGCAGCTGGAATTTGACCAGAAACAGGCGCAACATTTCACAATCCTGAAAACTGGCAAAGAAGTCATATATATTTGCCTGCCAAGCTTGTGTGTTTACATTACACATTTTGAGGAGTTTTTTGGCAGCATGGGACAAGTTCTTATTTTTAATGGGGCGTGAGATATGAGTAACTCAAGACCCCTATAAAGTTCTGGATTCAATAAAACACCTCATGGCTTATTGAACGGTTTCCAGCTCAACTTTAAAGCTTTGGCAAGAGTAGCTTTCTGCTAATGTGAAAACTTAGCAGTTCAATCCTGGCATGCAGAATGTGTGATCAGGCCTTGTGCCGCATAATAAAAGACTTTTTTTCTCCCCATGTTAGATATTTCTCCAGAAAACATTAGAATACTTGTTATGCAGCATACAGTCACCTGCTATTTTGTTAGGTACATTTTGTGAAGTACTTTGGACCCACTTTTTCCCTCAGAACTGCCCTTATTATAAAAAGGCTGCTTGAAACAAACGCTGGAGAATTTAATCCAGACTGACATGAAAGCATCATGAAATCATACATCTATCATTGCAATCTCCAGTACCATCACATCTGAAAGACGCTGCACTGAGATCTGTTGACTTTAGAAGCTATAAAGGTCCATTGAAATCATAGAAACCAGATAGATAAGCTGGATGATGGGTAAACCCTGGCAACAACAGGTCTGTGGTGGTGTTTAGGGACCCATCTGGGTTAAAAATCTCCCCCAAACTATTACACCATCACCATCGGCCTAAATTGTTTCTAAATGGTTCCCACTTCTGACCCTCCCATCTGAATTTTACCGCTGCATTTAAGACTTGTTGGATCAGAAAAGGTTTCTCCAATCTGTTGTCCAGTTTTAGTCTTTGTGTAAATTGTAGCTGTGTTTTCCTGTTCTTTGCTGACAGCAGTGGTTTTCTGCTGCCATTAGACATCTGCTTAAAGGCTAAACATCTATTAAGACACTATTCTGCTTAGTTTGTTTTGAATAAGTTGCTTGTTGAGTGATTGTTGTATTTAAATCACCTCTAACCTGTCTGTCCTTCCTTAATAATTGATGACATTTTTGCTCTCAGAGCTGTCCCTTAATAGATACAGTACTACTGTACTTCTGAGAATTTATTGTGTGGGAAAGAAATCCTCGAACAATCTAGAATAGTCAGACCAGCTGAAGCAATAAGAAACAAAAGCTCCTAAATCCCTCCTTTCCCATTCTAATTATGGATTTGAACATCAGCATGGTCGTTTTTGCCATCCTTCGATGTTTTAATGCATCAAGTTGATATTATATAACCCAGTAACTATTTTGACAGGCCATTAAGTGCATTCAACTTAACAGATCACAACTACTACATTTGGCTTGCAAGAAAGAGTTCAAAAAGCAGTAAAAAGTGCAGAAGTTCAAAACCTATCATGCTTTACAAAATTGCATCTTTGTGTCTTATTTAACTCATATAAAATGCAATTAATAGCAGATCAATTCTATTATGATATATCTCAACTTAATACAGTTCACTCACGTTCATTGTGCTTTTATTCACACAACATCAGTTTTCACAACAGGTTGGCTAGTTTAGGAAAATACAGGATCCCACTGAGAGTTCGTGGGGTAGTGTTTTGGAGAAAAAGAACCGCAGTCAGGGAGGGTGGCCATCTGCTTTAGCACTTGGTGGGGGAAGAAGGGAGATAAACAAACATGGACAACTAGGCCAGAGATGTTCAGTTAAAAAAGGAAATACCGTGAATGCTTGTAAGAAATTAAAGTGAAACTTATAAGTTATACAGAGAAGCCATCCTTTTAGAGAGGGAATATTTAGAAATCTAACTACTGAAAATAATATACTGTCAAAAAAGTATATGCTTAAATGAAACACTTTTGCTTATTTTTCTTTTTTCTTCTTCTAAATAATACTAATTTACCCCTAAACAGAATAACAGTTTGTGCGGTTAACTACCATCAAGCTTTGGCAATTACAAATAATGATTATTTTACTTTGATGTTGAGGAAATTGTCTTTGCAGCAAATTTTTTGCAGACTTTGTCTAATTTAACCACATATAGGGTTATTGAGCATGAGCAGCTATTAGTCATTCTTTTGTGGGTTCTTTTTTTTCTTCTTTCTACACCTTGTGCTTTTTCCTGTTAGATTTCTATCAGACTCCATATATTATATATATTTTTAAGCTCCCTTCTGGTTAATTAGGGCCCATCCTTTCAGCTGCTGTGCCTTTCTTTCTGCCTCATCTGTTCCTCGTTTACTCTGATTAGCTCATCTGATCCAACTTGGGTAAGTATATCTGATCATTGGTTCTCTGTTGACTACATGCTTCTTATCTCTCTTCATTGTCAGTTAACATCCAGACTGTAATTCTTGTCAGATCTCTTTTTTTGTAAAATTGTTTAGTATTTCCACTTATTTTGTTATTAATATACTCAACCTCATCTGGTCTTTGCATTTGATTCCTCGATTAAACGTAACCATGGCAATGATAGACTGTATGGAAATTCATCAGAAGTGAATACAAATCTGGACAAATGATAAAATGAGAAATGCAGTGTGGGAACATGCATAAAAACAGTTCAAGGATACAAATACACTCTGACATGCACATATATGTGTATCTATTCACTGAACTTAAGCATTAGAATTTTGCTGTCACAGACTGACATAAGTCTTTAAAAATGCCAAAAAAATATTTAAATAAGGCTGTAATTTTTGTGGCTAATCTTTTCAAGCTGCATGCATTTATATAGATGTGATCTAGTCCAATGTTACTTGGCTTCTTTTTAAAAAAATAGGCCTACATATCTCCATTTAGTTTCTTTCTCAAAGTTTTCACACTTGGATACCAGTTTAAGCTACGTATTTCCACAATCCTTACATAGTAACACCTTTCACTTTTCTCCATTGATCAGATTGTGTTAATCCTCAAAGCAGCATCTATTGAGGAACTTCTTTTCCCTCCATATTAAAGCAGCCCAACCAAAGAGAGAGCTTAATAATGACCAGCCATCTTTGTTCAGAGCATTGCTCTCCAGACTCCCACATCTCTGCAAATTGGCTGGCTTACAATCTCAGGACTGATAGCTCCATGATGTTTTCATTAGCAGTAGAGTAGAACGCTTTCACATTGAGAGCATTACAAGGGCAGCTATTGTGGCTCTGCACGCGATTGTTTCTGCAGACAGGACCTATTTAGAAACATGCTCCACTGTAGCAAAAACAAGGACAGAACATTATCAGGAGCTAATGGAGGATTGGCTTCCAGGGGAGGTTATTTGAGGCTAGCAAAGCTCCTGTCTCTTGATTGCTCAAATTGCTTAAACAAGGAACAGTGATCGCACTCTTGCAATGACTACTTTAAACCATTGCATAAAGCCTATATTTAGCACAGTTTCCCTTCTAAACGGTTGGAAGAGAAAATAACATGCATTCCTGGTAAGATACTGCATATAGTGAACAAACTGTAAGTTCTTCGTAGTAATACTGACTTGGTGTCAGTTTATAGGCACTGAAATTAAGGAAAAAAGAAGAAAATTTTTTTAAAAGAAATTAATAATGCTTGATTAAAAATGTCCCAATATAACTACTAACTTAATGTATTTTATTTGGGATTTGATTTAAAAAACAAACAAACAAAGATTTGAATTTATTACAAATAAAGATCTAAGGTGAGGAGATACTTTAGAACCATTTTTGCAGTAATAGGATAGGTTTCTACCAGCTTTGCACACTTGGATGCAGATTTTTTTTATGCATTCTTCTTGCTCAAAAGCTCAGTCAGATTGACGATGAGCTTCTGTGATCACCAATGTTCAAATATTTCCACAGAATTTCAATTTGGTTTTGGTCTGGACTTTGACTGCGGGCCATTTTCCCTAGTTTCAAGTCATTTGCTGGTTCCAAAAAAACAAAAAACTTTTGTTTTAGGATTTCCCTAGATATAACTTTCTTCAACCTTCCATAACCCTATAGCTTAACATCCCCTGTTTTAAAAATCACATCTCCACAGCATATAAAGCAGCTGAACACCAGCTTCAACTGTGGAAATATGGTGCTTAGCTTTTCTTTTATGAATGACTTTCTTTTTGCAACTTTTCAATAAAGTCCAGATTTAGTACAGGATTAATAGTTTTCTTTTAAGAAATTAATTATGGATCTGTGATTAATGCTCTGCTTACCCAGGCAGGCAGATTAGGTGGCTGGCTATTCATTGGTGTTCTTAGAGTCATGGCATACTCTGTCAGTTTCCAGATGAAGGGTTGAGCTATGCTTCATGAGATGATTAAGCTACAGATACAGCTTTGCAGGTAAATACCGCTTTAATGACTCAACTTCACCCCCTGATTTTATTTTTTTATTTTTTTTGTGTGTTGGTTTTGTCTATTTGTCCTCTAATGTACTCTTACAAAACCTGATGCTTTCCCATTAGAGCTGCATTTACACTGAGGCTGAATTAAACGGACTGCTTCTTATTAGGGGGTTTCTGAAGGCTGTTGGCTTGACTTGATTTCATTTATCAGGGTTAATTGGGTTGATCGCATATGTATGGAATTTATTTTTGGATTTTTGATGGTAGAAAGCTTCTTTGTGAAAGAGTATCATTAAATTCCTGTAAATCACATTAACATTTGTTGTTGTAAGATGACCAAACGTGAAATGTCTTCTTTATAGTAAAAGATAACAGGGTATGGGGGCCTCCTGGCATCTACTCCGCCCCCTGCTATAACAAGATCCTTAAGCCGTCTCAATGAGGAAGCCAAGGGTTGGAAAACAGCGTTCTGTCCTTAATGATGGACTTGATTTGTAATCTAAAGCATGTTTTCTTTGCTCACTCCATCTTTTCTCATCAGATCTGAAATGTGTTGATAACAAGCTTTCTGGTTGTAGCTCAGGTGTTCGGCCAGGCATCTTACTTGTCAGTGTCTCACTCTCCCTTATGAGCTTGGTAGGATTGGCTGATGTGAAATGATCAGCGTTGGGATTTGCAGGTTAAGGATGCTTAGAGCAGGGGTTTTAATGTCCTGACGTCAGGTTAATTAGCGGCGAATCTGATCCTTTCAGCCTCTAAGCCGCACTCTACCCTGTTCTGTCTGCTGGTGGACACAGGATGCGTCCAAGGAGGAGAAGGCACGTCCATTCAAAGGGATACTGATAGACCCTTTTCAGCTACAAGAGCACCGCTTTTATTGAAGTTTTCCCCTTTTCTTTTCTGGTGATGCTTTGGTAAAAAAAAAGAGGACAACTTGAGGTAAAAAAAAATGGCAGATAAGGACAGCGTGGAGAAATACTTGGAGAACAACCCGCAGTTCGCCAAAGAGTACTTCGATAAGAAAGTTCGTGCCGAGGCCCTGACTGCTGCTTTCTCTGAGACTCTTGACATTAAGGACACAGCTTCATTTAAGGATGTTAACGCCATTCAGGAGGCCAGCATCATCTTTGAGCTGCTCCAGGAGCTGCAGAAGCAGACGTGCATGGAGAAGAGCCTCCATAAGGTGCTGCAGAGAATCGTCCTCATCTTGCAGGCTGACCGGGCCAGCTATTACATCTGCCGCTCCAGAAATGGAATCCCTGAGCTCTCCACCTGCCTCTTTGACGTGACTCCAACGTCCAAGTATGAGGCCAACTTGGTGAACCCACAGAGTGAGATTGTGATCCCCACTGACATGGGAATAGTGGGCCACACAGCCACTTCAAAGAAACCACAAAATGTCCCTGACATCACTAAGGTGAGAGAATCTGGAGCATAGATGTAAAAATTTAGAGAGAGTTAAAGAAAAAAGCTCTATACAAAATCATTCAGATTTTGATTTTTACTTTTCTTAACTTTTAACTTTTTTTTTCCTAATTTTTTGCCTTTATAATGCAGATGTTTTTACCCAGATTATATTTTTACATAACAGTAATTATCATAACCAGAAAGCAGGACAATGTGGACTCTGCCACCTCCTTTTTAGGGGCTATTTTTTCGGATGACCTCCTCATAAGCAGGAATTCATCAATAGAACAGAACTCTCATACATGTATAAATGCTGATCTGAGGAATAAATTACCATTATCTTTTAATCTTTCCCAGAATGGTACGGAGCCTAAATCCTTCTAAATCTGACTCTCATTTGTTCATAGTCACCTGGTATGGACTCTTTTTATTTCAGGATGGGCTATATATATTTATAGCCTCACTTGCATAACAAGATTCCTGAGATCTCACTTTGAAACTCTGTTTAAGATCTATACAGCAAACTGCAGCCAATGACAAAGCTGAGCCAAGATTGTATGTGGCCTAAATCAAATCGCCTTTAGGCTTCAGTTTGCTAATAAACATGGAGCAGTAAATTAATTGAGAAGCTGAGGTTATTTCTCTGACTTGTTTGGTTTGGTGTTGTTTATATAGTACAGTTTTTTAAATAGAAAATCACTAGTTTCACATAGTAGGGACCTGTTTGAATGTTTTAAAGGAACACTTGGAAAAATGAATAATAAAATGCACTTGTGGGCTAATTATGCTTTGATGGAATTAAAAACCTTGAAGTCTCTATTATGCATGAAAGAGGGAGCATCATTTTTGAGAGATTCGATCTTAGGGTCACAAAGCTGGTTTTGGTTAGCTTTCGCCTTGGGCTGATTTTGAAAGGGATTGTTAATAAACTTAAGCTGAATTTTGTGAGAAATAATTATAAAAATATAAACTTTTATCTCCAAATTTCAAGCTTTTTCTTTATCTTGTTTTATCTACTATTTTAATGCTTTTGTATTTATTCCCATGTATTATTTTCTTTATTAGTTTATTTATGTAGTTACTGTTTTATTGATCTTTTTCTTGCCAACTACTAATAAGGTGTCTGTGGGTACAAATCAAATAGCCATGTTAAGAATAACTTTTTTTACGCATACCTGCTGGTTTTAGATTATATTTAAAGTTAAAATATAATGAATGAGACTTGAAAGATAATATGTTTAGTCATTTTGAACAGCAGTGTAAAAGAAATACACATAAAAAGTTGGTAGATAATTTCACTTTATACATTATGTCTAAATTATTTCTAGCATGCTTATATCCAGTATTTTTTTTCTAACCTGCATAAAATTAAGTGTTAGCTTTCTGTAGATAAAGAAGGTGTTATTTGCCACAATACTGTACATCATTTCATGTTTTGCTGTTTTAGTTGTCAGAATACTACTTTAAAAAGCAACATAAAACAACATTGATAAGTAATTTGCTGGCCAAACCATTGCTGTTTTAAAAATGCTTTTTAAATTTTCAACATTTCTGGATATTTTTCAAGCGTTCCCCCCTTTTTCCTCTTAAAACCAGAATTCAAAGTTCTGTGACTTTGTGGATAAGCAGACCGGATACAAGACCAAATGCCTGCTGACATTCCCCATAATGGCTGATAAAGACTGTCTCGGAGTCGTCATGGCGCTTAACAAAATAGGAGCTGATTCGTTCACTCCAGAGGATGAGAAGGTAAGACCGGTACATCATTATTCATCCTGGGAGAGAGAGAGAGAGGTGGAATGCTGCTTCAGATACCGCTGGCCATGAGTCTCTGGACTGTTAGATGCTCATGAATATTTACACTCCATAATACAGTTTTTTCTTTCAGTAGCATCCATTTTAATGTTTTTATTCTATTCTGGACACTGGTAAAAAAAAAAAAAAAAGCTGCATTCAGCTCATAGAAATGTTAAACTAATTTAAAATTACTTCTCTGATTACTCTGCAACAGTAGAGAAAAGGCCTTCTCATTACTCAAGAAGGGGCCAATCAGCTCTGACTGGTTCGGTGAAGAAGCATCACTGCAGGCTGCATTAGAATATTTTCACCCGTATCTCTAAAGCATTGAAAAATCATCCAAGCCTGAATAAACGGCTCAGATATGAACAATGCTTAGGTTAGCAGCTGAATTTAAAATCTATAAATATGTAACATATAGAGGAACCGTCATCACAAGTGTATGAACTGTCATGTTTTAATAAAATGCAGTTTGTGTGTTTATCCAAAAAATCTGCCAGTAAGAACAAACAATGTGAACATGTTTTTATAAAACTGCTCAGTTGAAATTTATGTATTCTTTCTTGTACATTTAAATCTTTAATCTGACTTCTAATCACTTCATCTACAGCTTTTCCATAAGTACATGACTTTTGCTCAAGTCATCGCTCTGCAGTATTACACAGCCTACATGTTCAATGTGGAGTCCAGGAGGAGTCAGGTAAACTGAACTACTGCAGTTTATTCCATGCCAGACTAGATATGTTCACTGAATCAGATGCCAGTTCTTTTTACAATAAAGCTTAAAAAGTGATAAAAATATATGAAAAGGATGTTCTGCTTCCAGGTGCTGCTTTGGTCTGCTAGCAAAGTCTTTGAAGAGTTGACAGACATAGAAAGACAGTTCCACAAAGCTCTCTACACAGTCAGGACCTACCTGCAATGTGAACGTTACTCAGTGGGGCTGTTGGACATGACCAAAGAAAAGGTCAATGTTACTGATATTGCTGCTTCTGCTATTTTTGGATCAGTGGATTTTAAATCTATAACTTTTTATGGGCTTCGTTCTGCAGGAATTCTACGATGAGTGGCCTATTAAACTAGGAGATGTGGAACCTTATAAAGGACCCAAGACCCCAGATGGCAGGGTGACAAAATTCCCTTTTCTCCTCCCAAATTTCAGATTTTCTCATAAATGCGTTGAAAAATTGAAGCTAATTTAAAAGAAATGTCTTTTCTTCATTGCAGGAAATTAACTTTTACAAGATCATTGATTACCTCCTAGAAGCCAAAGAAGAAATCAAAGTCATACCGTAAGCATCGCTGGCTCAAATTAAAGAACGTCGAGTGAAAACTGAAAAATAAATGAATCAATCTTTTCTGCTGTTGCAAAAAGCTTTTTATCTCCCCTTCTGTTGGTGGTTGCAACATAATGGTGGGGCTATGTTTCACCACATTGGTCACAGTATATATAATAAACTTTTTAATCGGCCCTTCATGTCATACGCCATGTCACATTTAACCAGAATTAGTGGATTATTAGTTTTAATATTTTAAAACTAATAATATCTAATATTTTTAGATCCTCTGATCAAATTAAGAAGAATAAATTATGTTTCAGTGATATTTAATTAATAAGAATGGGAGGTTTTGTAATTTCTTAATGTGGACCAACCCCCACCTCACCACAGGTTGGATTTCTCTAGGTCTTTCAAAGTGAGATTATGCAACACGTAAAAACCAACAAAAAGCAATTTGGTCAATTTAAGGGCTTTTGAAAAATAGTTTGCCCTCTTTCCATATTTATACAATGAAGCAGCCTTAGCCGAGACAAAAAGAGATTTCTCTTTCAAAAACGTGGTTTTTAAAACGTATAAAACATTAAAATGTTGCAGTTTAAAAAACTTCATATTTCTTTTCTGTTTACTCAGGGGTCCCCCCGCGGATCACTGGGCTCTGGTGAGCGGACTGCCAACCTATGTGGCGGAGAACGGCTTTGTAAGTCACAAACCTTAGCGTGAAACACCTTGCAGATGATTGCTTTCATCTCAGCTAAATCTCCATCAGAATATTATGCTTAGATTTGCATAATAGTCCCAGCTGTCAGCATATTGGGTTATATACGGTATATATATTGGGATATTTATAAGTTACCAACACTGAGTCCACTATAAATTTGACTGGAGATGCTTAAGATAAATATGGTATTGTATGAAGGGGAAATCGAAGCTGAATCCGAAGAAATCCACTAAAATGATAATGATTCTAAACCTACCATTAAATGCACAAAGAATGGCTACAAATCAAGAAACAGAAAAGTCCTGACTAGCGAATGTCAGACTGGTAGATGATTAAAGGGAGTGTAAATATCTACTAAAGAACATAAAAATAGCTATTTGGTGGTAGGGTGCCCTAACCTTTTCTCCATTTAGGAAACTCATTTTTGTTGGTATCTTTGTTTAATCAGTGAAAAGTAAATTGCAGACATTAATAGAAATAAAATAAAATCAGACACCAATAGCTGAGTATCTCTTTACATCAATTTTTTTAATGACAGAAAAAAATAAAAAAAGATTGATAGTAGCTTTTAAAATGTTAAAGAGGAGCCTTTTTAAGTGTTTCTGTGTGCTTCCCTGCAGATTTGCAACATGATGAATGTTGCCGCAGATGACTACTTCACTTTCCAGGTATGAAAGACCAAACCAATCAAAAGTTGCTCTGATTTGTTTCAGGTTTGTGTTTAAAACTCCAATATCTGTGCTTTTCAGAAAGAGGCTGTGGATGAAACGGGTTTCATCATCAAGAATGTCCTTTCCCTTCCCATCGTCAACAAGAAAGAAGAAATCGTGGGCGTTGCCACCTTCTACAACAGGAAGGATGGAAAACCTTTTGACGAGTACGACGAGCAGATCACTGAGGTTGGAATTCTGTGACAGTTATTTTTTGCTTTTGCACCTTTGTTATGTTTAAACCAGGCCCTGACACAGTTCCTGGGTTGGTCTGTGCTGAACTGCGACACCTACGACAAGCTGAACCGTATGGAGTGGAGGAAAGACATTGCCCAGGAGATGCTGATGTACCAGACCAGATGCACCACGGACGAAATGCAATCCATTCTGGTCAGCATCAACATGGCTTCCTTTGACATTTTTCTCTCTTAGCTAGCATTCCTATCCATACTCACATTTGCTGAAAAAGCAATTTAAGCAGTAATTTACAGGAAAGCTCATAGAATAGCTTTCCCAGAAACAATTTCGCATCAGAGTTTTTAGAGGACTATTAAAAGGTCAGGTTTGTTATACGTCCACTTGGCAACTAACATTTAGAAAAATGACACAAGGGTTTATACACGGCTTTGAGCTCTTTCATCAGATGAATAAGGAGTAAACTGTATTTTAAAGGTCTCTTAATCGACAGAGCATGTTGATGAATAGCGCCTAAATGTCACGTGAAATCTTTTTTATTACCAGAACACCAAGGAGAAGTTTGACGCAGACCCTGAGGACTGTGACCAGAAGGAGATGTACAAATTACTGGTATGTGTCCTTTCATCACGGGAAAATCTGCTGCACAATCATCCCCGTGGAAACAGCACATTTACAGACACTGCAGAAGAAAACAACCTTTTTTTCTTTGTCTTACATTCAATCAGATTAAATATCATGTAGTTTAGTTTGAATCTCACCAAAATTATTACTGTATAATAAATGTCATATTGTTTCTTCAAAATCAGAAGTTTAATGATATGGTAAACCCTGGATGTTTTACATGGCTTTGTAGGATCCTAAGTCATTTACAGCACTAAAGTTAAATGGAGGAACAACTGTTGAGGTGTTAAAACTAAGATCTAATAAAATGAAATAAAATAATTTGCCATAATGACTATTTTCACTTATAAAGAAAGAAGGGGAAGGCCAGTAGACCTAAGACCTTAAACCAACTGGAGAGTGCAAGGCGGTAGCTTCATATTGTGAGTGGATTACTGCAAGAGCAACTGCTGTTTACTTTACAGGATAAATACCATCACAGGGGAAGAAACGAAGAGAAAGTATTAAGGTGACCTCTTAAGGTATATAGGAAGCCAGAAAATTAAAACACGGGCATAATTTGACAATAACTACTAGGCTTACTGCCTCATCAATAAAAAAGTTTCTTAAGAAAAACAGAGCCAATTACTGCAGTGATCATTTAATAATAATACTTGAGCATCATTGATCCACAATGGAGAAATTATGTCTTTGCATTTAACCCATCCCTTTGGGGAGCAGTGGGCTGCCATTGTGCAGCGCCCAGGGAGCAGTATGGGGTTAAGGGTCTTGATCAGGGACCCAGGGTGGAGGCTGTAGGGATCGAACCAGATACTTGCAACCTACTCAGAGCACAAGCACACTGCTCTGCTCCAACCACTAGGCCAAAACTCCCCCCTTAAAATCGAGATTTTAGTCTTGTAGAAAATTGGAGGGCAGAGGTGCATTTTGTGTGCAAGATTCCCAACAGACCTGACAAAGTAAGGTAAAGTCTGGCAAAGTGTTATAAGAAACTACCGGAAGCACATTTGACCCAAGTCACATTATTAGAAAGAAGAATCTACTAAATACTGAGAGAAAATATGTAAATGTGTTGATTTAAAGGAAGATATTAAATGGCCTCTTCCTCACTTCTATAATAGCTGTCATTTTGTTATTGTTTTTCAATCAAAATCTACCCCTGATTTGAATGATTAAACCATTTTCTGTGCAGAGGGCAAACTGCCCGCCGGCAGACAACGTGGATGGAGAGAATTTGTACTCGTTCGGCTTCAGCGACTTCCCCGTCTCAGAGTTAGGCCTCATTAAAGCTGGCATTCGCATATTCTTTGAGCTCGGAGTTGTCGAAAAGTTTAAAGTTCCTGCAGAGGTGAGTCTGTTTTTTTTTTTCTTTTTTTGTATAACAAGGTGCTCTGAAGTTCTAGTTTCTGAAAAGGTTCTGAAATATAAATGGGGGAATAGGTCTCGTTATTTCTTAACACCTCTGAATAGGAATAATATATTTGTGAGGATTTCAAAAAGATATATCATTTTAGGTGTTTGCCTGGATTTTTTTCTCATTAAATGATTGGACTGGTTTAGGACTGTCAGAGTGATAACTTTCAGGAAAAGCCCTGAAAAAATACCTTTTACTTGAAATTACAACCAAACACTTGTTTGTTACACCAAAATAAAAATGACATTTTGTAACCAATAAAATTGGCTTTTCATTTACAGATTTAATGCTATAAAAATGTACAAAAAACGACTACATTTAGTAGTATCTTATTTTACAGAATATTAAGCCTTTATTTGTTTTTATAGTAGCTGGCTTGTGTTTTAGGCAATCTGCAGTGGTAGCCATAAAGAAAGATGGAGGCCTAAAGGTTTTCATCTAGAATTTCTAAACAGTTTTACTATAATTAGATTCAGTGTTTCTCAAAACTTTATTCTTTTTTAATACCATTTCCAAGCAGCCAGTTTGTTATCCTTCATTAAGCCAGCTTCAATAGGTTGGGGAGGGGCAGTGCTGCACTATGCTGTAAACCATACCTTATTTATAATTAACTTTGAAATAATCTGGGTCAACAAAGTGTTACACATATGGTAAGAAATGTTAAAATAAAATAAAAACAAAAAGTAGAAATGTATAATAGAATCAGCATCTCTGGACGTGCAAAATGCTTTATAGTTATTTTTTCTTTAATAAACCCGATTTCAGAAAACAGAAAGGAACCTGCCTGACATGCAGGGGCAGATCATTCCATAACTTCGGAGTGGCTACAGCCAAAGCTCAGCCTCCTCTCAGTTTCCACTTAAATTCAGGAACATTAACGAGCTGTGGGTTGGCAGAGCTCGGAGGGGCAGGGTTATAAGGGCATATTTGAGTGTAACAGAGTGGTCAGTATATCTGTAATAGTTTTCCTCGGACTGTATGCAACCAGCAGGAATTAAAGTTAGAGAATATGTGGCTCATCTTATTCTCACTGCTTTTTAATTTTGGCCAAATCAAATGTGTGTTTTAAAAATATAAAATAATATCTAACAGTAGCATCTTAAGATATTTCATTAAATGATAGCACTGTCTTCAGTATCTGTTAGGAGGGGTTGCTGGGTCAGCGCTGGGACCCGGCACTAAGACAGCAGCTTCTGTGTGGATTCCCTCTAGAATGTAAATCCTTGACTTAAGTCTGAGATTTCTAAAAGGCTGCCAACATTTCAGAATCCAGGATCATCTTTAACAGACAGGGGTTGAAATCTCAAAAGGATTAAACAAAGCTACTTTGCTGGAGTCCATTCAGCCTTCCTGTTATCTCCTTGCTCTCTGTCGCTCTTTGGCAGCCTATACAAACCAAAGAAATGTTAAAGTTTATTCCCTTCTTACATAGCTGTTCTTTTAAACTCCTCATTGATACTGATTTTTACTGACTTTGAGTTTTAATTCTGTAGTACTAACTCTCATACTCAGCTGATCCCCATGCAACATGCAATAATAAACGTTTTTTTTCTCTCAGACGCTGACTCGGTGGATGTATACTGTGAGAAAGGGTTACCGTGCCATTACTTACCACAACTGGAGGCATGGTTTCAATGTGGGCCACACCATGTTCTGCTTACTACAGGTAATACAATCTTTGTTAAGTTACTTATTTGATGGAGGAATATGAGAATACAACTCTGATCCATGTCTGAACTTATGATTTGCAGACAGGGAGGTTGAGGAAGTACTATTCTGATCTTGATGCCTTCGCCATGGTGGCTGCAGCTTTTTGCCACGATATTGACCACAGAGGAACAAACAACCTCTATCAAACAAAGTGAGTTCAAACGCCTTTTTTTCACAATCCAATAAGAATATTTTTTTATGATTATTACTCTATTTTTTTTATCTATAGGAGTGCATCTCCTCTGGCCAAACTTCATGGCTCCTCCATCATGGAGAGACACCATTTGGAATACAGCAAAACGCTCATGGGAGAGGAGGTGATTACATGGAAGATTAGTGAAAAACAGACTCGCTGGTTGTGGTGACGCTATAAACTGACCATTTTCTCTGTCTGTCCTCTGCTGCAGAGCTTGAACATCTTCTGCAATCTGCAGAAGCGTCAGTTTGAGACGGTGCAGCACTTGTTCGATGTCTGCATTATTGCCACTGATCTGGCCCTTTACTTCAAGTAGGTTTTCACAGAAATATTTGGAATTAGCTCGTGATTACAAAATATAACATTTTCAAGTCTCAAATTTCATTTTTTATTTATCAGGATTGATATAAATAATGTGTGTTATATATTAATATTATGTGTTTTAATATTATTTTAAAAGCTAAAAATACATAAATTGTTTATTGTTTAAGATGGCAACTAATTTCCTATACGAGATAATAAATAAAAAATATATAGAGATATTTAAAAAAAGTCATGTTATATTTTGCGGCTTCAACTTGGCTCTATGAATATGAAATGTTAAAAACCCCTGGAGTAGAGGCTCCCTATTTTAATATTGGATTGTCTTCCAGGATTGTAGAAGGATTTTTTTTTCTTTTCTACATCATTTTGTTTGGTAGTTTAGGAAACATTTAAAAACCCGGTTCAAATTAAATTTAGAATTCTCCAGAAAGGAACCATTTTGTAAAATTGTCTTATTTATTATTCCATTCAAAATCTAAAAACACTAATGGTAAGAGGTAAAAAAAATCTCCATGCTATGTGGTAAATCAAATAAAAAGCATGTGGATTAAAGATAAGGAAAAATAAAAGCACCCAGTTATTACACATTGTTAGATTTTCCTCAAGAAGAAAAGCTCAGGATTGGAAAAATTGAACTTTTTAATACTCGTGATTTTTTTTTTTCTCATTGATTTTCATTTTCATTCATTTCACATGGAAAAGTACGATAAGTTATTTTCTATATTAGATTTTAAAGACTGCTTAGGAATCCTATGGAAGCCTAAATCTCAAATAGCAAAGAAAAGATATATATATATATAAAAAAAAACCATATATGTTTATATCTTTTTTTTAATCTTTTTTACACATTTCATTGTTAGTCTACCGTAACAACCCTTGCTAAAGATGTGCAAAAGGTTAGAAATATATGATAATTTCTTCCAATAGACTAATTAATCTCACACTAAAAAAAAACAACAACAATTACTTGACACCATCGTTAGTCCTCTTTTATTCAGGCATATGTTGCAATTGTGTCCTAGAGAAAACTTTTAATTTTTTTTTACTCCAGATGAAGCAATTATGATTGATTTTAGCAATAAATGTAAAAAAAAACAACGAAAAAAAAAACTTTGTGTTGGATAGCAAACATTAACTTGTCAGCAACTAATTTTTCTTTTTTTAAGACAAAGAGTTAGCATTTTTTAAATTTATATAAATTATATAAAGTTTTCATCCAATCCTTTATAGTAATATTTCATTTTCCAACTTAATAAATGTATTCTTTTAAAATGTATAGGATTTGCTACTGTAAAAAAAACAACAACTATATATTGAATTGTTTTAAAGTTGAATCCACTGGGTTATATATAAATAGGTACTATTTTCTATTTGTCTACTTCCAGGAAAAGAACCATGTTCCAGAACATTGTGAATGCCACAGAACCAATGCCAGAGGAAAAGGAGGCCATCGCCTACATTTCTAACAATCCCATCAGGAAGGAAATTATCATGTATGGAAGCAGTAAACACCTTTTTCTTTATTTATTTTTTTTGTCGAATTCCTGCCCCTGTTTCCACTGTGAGCCGCCTTCTGACACAGCAGGCAGCAAAAAATCATATTCATCACAGCCGGGATGTTGCTTTGCTTTGACTGACTGTCTGTTTCTCACCTCTAGGGCCATGATGATGACAGGCTGCGACCTGTCAGCCATCACCAAACCCTGGGAGGTGCAGAGCAAGGTGAGCCTTGAAGTGAAGTTCACCCGTAAATAAGACTTTTCTTTTCCCACTGTCTTTTTCCGGCTAAAGTCATATGTATCCAAGCTCTAATAATAATAATAATGATAATACTTTTTATTTAAAGTGCCTTTCGGGACACCCAAGGACACTGTAAAACGAAGAATCAAAATACAAAATATACGCTATGTTAAAAACAGTGGAGGCAGTCAGTGGAGGTATGCAGTCTTGAACAGATGAGTTTTAGCCTTCATTCAAACAGAGTTTTTATATTATGAATATTAGGTGTGTGTGAATTCCAGAGATAGGAGGCTCAACACAGTAGATTGTAGTGATCTGAAGGAGATCTGAGAGAAGTGGGGGAGCAAGATCATGCATGACCTTGAAAGCAAACGGGAGGATTTTGAACTGGATTCTGAAGCTGACAGGAAACCAGCGAAGTTCCTTAAGGATTAGGATGATTTGATAGAAAGAGGAGGTTTTGGTATTTAAACTAGCTGCTGAATTCTGGACCAATTGAAGTTTGTGAAGAGATTTCTGAGGAAGACCAAAAAGAAGAGAATTGCAGCAATCGACGCGGAAGGTGACGAGGCTATGGACCAGAACCGAAGTAGGGTGCGGGGAAAGAGAGGGACCAAGACAATAAATGTTTTGCAGGTGAAAATAGGCCGAGTGGGTTATGTTAGTGATGTGGGAGATGAATGACAGAGGGCTATCATGTATGACAACCAGACGCTTGACCTGAGAAAAAGGGGAGGTGGTAGAACTTTCAATAATAAGAGAGAAACTGCCAATCTTCTAGAAAACAAATTTGGTTCCTACCAGGAAGATCTCTGCTTTGGTTCACCTCCAACTTCCTGAAGTTCAATTGCAACAGGCATTTATACCAGCAAGGCAGGCGTTGAGGGATGCCAGAGGGAGCTTTGAGTTTGGCTTACCAGATACCGTAAATAGAGCTGGGTGTCATCTGCATAACACTGATATTGATATGATATAAAAATCGATATTGAATTTCCAAAAGATATTGCCAAGAGGCAGAAGGTAGATGATAAAATATAGGGGCCCCAGGACAGAACCATGAGGCACACCGGATGGACACGACTTCATTTGGATTCATTTAATACGGCTAGAGAAGTAGTAACAGAACAAGTAGAGGGTTGTGTGAGTGATGCCACCTGAAGATGAAGAAGGATGGGGTGAGAAACTGTTGCAAGCGGCATTCAGGACCACGAGGATAAGAACGGCAATGAGACCTGAGTCGGCTGCCATCAGAGGGCTGTTTGGGATTTTGTTTGGAGAGTAGTTTCAGTAATAGGACAGGGGGTTGTTAGAGTGAATTTGAGAGGCAACTGTTTTTTCCAGTATTATAGAAATGAAAGGCAAGTTGGAAATGAAGCAAAGGTTTTTGTAGTTGTTCAGATCTGACCCAGGTTTTTTCTGTGTAGGATTGATTACTGCGGTTTTAAAAAGGGAGGAATGATTCCAGAGCTTAGCGAGGAGTGAATAATGGTGGTTATGCTCAGAAGCAAAGGCTGGAGAGAGGATTTGACCAGTTATTGGGATGGGTTATGATTAATGTAAGAGTTCAGGATAACAATGGATATTTAATAATTGGGAAGGAAGTTTTAAGAGGGTTGAAAATGGCCACCACAATGCACAAATATGTCCATTTCATCAATGGTGCAGTGATTTTTTTCTTTTTTACTATTTTTTTAATACTATTGATTTGTCTGTGTGTGGCTGTTTTTCCAGGTGGCTCTAATGGTTGCTGCTGAATTCTGGGAACAGGGTGATTTGGAGAGAACTGTTTTGGACCAGCAGCCAATTGTAAGATCAGCACTCCTCCAGGGTCTTCATTTATTCCCTTTTTCATTTTCATTCCTTCATAGTTTTTTCTTCCTTTCTTTTTTTTTTCCACACTGGAAAACCTTCTTGTGTTTATCTCCCTCCCTCTCTTAGCCCATGATGGATAGAAACTGTGCCGAACAACTACCCAAGATGCAATGTGGTTTCATCGACTTTGTGTGCTCATTTGTGTACAAGGTAAGCTGTTTCTCTCTCACTTCACTGCCCCCACTTCTCTTAAAAAATACTTTAAAAAGATACAAATGTAAAGATGGATGCTCCGACTCAAAAGAAGATTGATTTGCAGCAGAGAGAGTGTTTGCTTGAATCTAAATCCACTCATAGTGTAAAAAGACTCTTATGATGGTCTGTGCAGTGATTTTACAACTTAGTTCAGCAGTTTTTGCAAGTTACAAACTGTTGTTGTGTGTGTATATGTGATTTTCAGAATAAAATAAAAACAATCCCATTGGCAAAACAAATACTTAAAGGTTTGCTAAAGGAATAAAAAACACATAATATAGTCAGTCTTTTCTACATGGCATAAAATCAGCTGTGAGCTCAGTAATTAATCATATTGAGGTAAAAGTATTCATAACCCTTGCTTTTTCAATAACTTTTTCTTGTTTTAGTTTAAACAAGATTTAAAATGTTAAAAACAAAACATAACTATAATGTAGAAATAATACATTTGGGCATTTTTTATATAATTTACTTCTTTAACATCCACACTGCAAAAAATTAAAATCTACATAAGTCATTTTTATCTGCAATAAGTTGATTTTTTTCTTGAATTGAGGAGGTAATTGAGACACTTTGCCAATGGAACAGAACAATTTACATTTAAAATAAGAAAACACAATTGCATTGTCTTGTTTCAAGTGCATTTTATGTAACTATCTTATTTTAAGACAAAAAATACTCATTCCATTGGGAAATTATGCTATTTATCTACTCAAATTAATGGTAAATACACTTTATTTAAGGCATTTTTTTCATCATTTTTAGATTGTTTTTGCAGTGCAGGGCCATTGTTTGTTTCCATGTGTCTTTGAATTTTGAGTAACTGGTAAACATTAGAGAACAAGCATCATTATTAAGACCAAGGTAAACAGCAGTGTGGTCAGACAGAAAGCTGTGGAGTTTAAAGCAGGGTTGGGGTATAAAACAACATTTTACAGAGCACTGTTCAGTCAATCATCATAAGTGGAAACAATATAACAGAACAGCAAACCTACACAAGAAATCATTTGGAGAAATTGAGAGCATGAATCAGAGGAGCAGCCAGGAGTCCCATAATAAGTCTATAGCAGCTGCAGGGATCCACAGCTCAGGTTAACCGTTTACTCTGCAAAAAAAATATAGCCTTTATTGAAGAATGACAAACGTTTCAATAAAGAAACTCATAGAACACCCAGTTGAAGGTTTTCAGCATGCTATTAAGTGGACCAAGTAGGCATAAAAAAGTCCTATTATTAGATGACACCAACACTTTTGTTCTGCATGTAGCATAGCTAACGCTGCACATCGCCTATTGCTACGTTATACACAGTGATGGCACTATCATACTATGGGAAAGCTTGTAGAACACAGACTTCAATGATTTATAGACAGCTACAATTAAAATGCCACATTTTAAAGCTTACTGAGCGGTATCCCAAAACCCACTTAAGGCTTCTCGACAAAGCATTAAATAAAACTTTTCGTTTAAAGATGTTTCATGACAAAATGTAAAAGAAAATTTGGTATTTTGAATTTTTAAAACCCTATTAATCATCTATCAGTACAACTTTCCTAAATGATAGAAGAAGCTGGATAGTTCAATAATTTAGCATGCAGGACATCACTGGCTTCAGAGAGGTGTTTTTAAGCTTTCATCTATCTAAGTCCATGTGAAAAGATGCAGGTTGTGAACTTGTAGAACACAATAGCCGTCTCTCTCTCACCCCAGGCTGATATTTTGATGAGCACTCACACTGCGTGCAGCATGTCGCCCCTGTGGACCATTGCTGCATCATTTATACCTGATCACATTCCGCCTTTGAAGATGCTCTCTAAAGAGGCCCCGAGATGAGAATAACCTTCATCTATTGTTCTTTTTGTTTGCAAGGAGTTCTCCAGGTTCCACAAAGAGATCCAGCCCATGTTTGACGGCCTGAACAACAACAGGGCACACTGGAATGAGCTGGCTGAGGTGTACAACGCAAAGATGAAGGCAATTGAAGATGAAAAGAAGAAGTTGGAAGAGGAAGAAGCCAAGAAAGGTATGAAATGAATTAAGGATTGTATTGTAATAATCTGAGATCAAGAAATGCAACATTCTTATTCTGTTTCTGTTGTTTTTTTTAGCTGGTGGTGGTGGTGGTGAAGCAGGAAAGTCAAAGACTTGTACCATCTGTTAGGCTTCTTCTCTTCATGGACCTGGACTATTATGGACTGCTTAGGACTGATATCTACATCTCTAGTCTTTTCTGGTCTGAAAAGTCTTTCCAAAGCCATGTGATTTTGGCATTTTGGCCTGCGCTTCATAAGCTAGTTCTCTCTTTTCTGACCCTGCATCCTAGTCTGCTCCAGTTTTCTTCAGCTAGGTTAGCTACACTGGACAGGAATGCATGAGCAGGAGGAAACCTGAGCTGGAAGTAACATTGGGACTTTGCACAGAGAAGATCTCATTGAGAAGAAATGAGTGAAACCTCCTCCTCCCTCTGGTTTTAAGTGGCACCTGGCCAGGGACATAAAAAAACATTGAAACTCACAATATACTTGTAAGATAGTAATATTTTTAGGCCTGTCTGAAATCATGTTGCAATAAATTTACACAAACCTCTTAGTATAGACAATTAAAATAGATAATTACGAGCTATGCCAAAGTAATAGCATTTAGTATGTCTTTGGCATTTATAAGAACAATGTATAAAAGTACTTTAAGCTGCAAAATGCACTTGGTTGCTGCTGTTTTACCAGCCGACCCACAGAGAGAGTGAAGGCCAACTGGGAGGATAAAGACTTTTCTAATGTAGTGAAGGGGAGCTGTTAAGAGCATTTATACAGAAATATAATTTTATTCCCTTCAGCGCATAGAGAGGGAAAATTCAATCTGCTAGCTTTGTTCATAATGTAATGGCAATAGCACAGTGAACACTGGCACCAAACTAATTAGGGAAGATGAGTTCCTTCCTCCAAAGGCATTAGTAAGAATTCTGATGATATATTTATTTTAATATGTTATTCATCTACATACATATATATATATTTTTTTTGTTTGGAGAGGGATTCTGGGAATTTTGTACTTGAACCATCTTCAATTTGAGATTAACTTTTAGAGTTACAGCTGTGGGATGATGCAAAGAGTAGAATTGATCTTTTTTCATTTTGTCACAATATGATCAAAACAATGTTTTATGGAATTTTTTAAAAGCCACCAACCGGTTTTCTTACATAATTGTTAAAAAGGAAGGAAAATTATGTGAAAGAAAATCATTTGGGGTCATTTTGTTTCTGTAGAGACTAAACATTTACGGTTTTGTTGTTTTCCTAGAGCTTTCCATCTTAGCTTTGACTGTAAATGCAGGGTGGTTGTTCTTCTGGAAGCATCTAGTCTCCCTTTTTTTTGTTTTTCCAGAATTGCCTCTTATTTACCTATATCCATCTTCCTATTTCCTCTGTCCAGCTTTCCTGTCTCCCTCCCCATAGCTTGCTCCTCCCACTGCCATGTGTCACAGTGAGGATGTGGCATTCAGAATGATGTTTATTTTTTGCACATAGGCCAAAAAGTTTACATTTGCTTTCATCTGAGTAGAGCACCTTCTTCCATATGTTTTCTTTGACCCTTTCATGGCTTCCTTTTAGCACCGGCTTCCTTCTTCACACTTTTTCATAAAGCCCAGATTTGTGGAGTGCACAACTAATGGTTCTCCATCCAGGGAAATCTCCCACAACAGTTCCTCCAGAGTTACCAAGGGACTGTATTATTACTTCGCTTTAAATCGCTCTTATTGGGTCCCTTTTTAAATAGTTAAGTAACTTCTGAACGCGGTTGCTTACACTGGGTTTTATTCAGCATAATCAAAGTAAATGATGTGCTGCCTTGTGATGTACCAAAACATACTAAAGCTCACCTATTCTGTCTCCTGGATGTAGTTCTCTTCTACAGAGATCTAACTTTTGAATTGATGTAAACTTGATTGTAAGAGAAACATAAAGATCCACAAGAGCAGCTCCTGCTTCTGAAAGAGTGAAACAGATCAACAGATCTGCCTCTCCTTTAAGAAGCTTTAGCAGGATTTGATAGCCAGCCAGTGTTTGAGATCCACACAGCTTTGGACTTTAAATACCCGTCTTACAGTGAAGCATTATCATTTACATGAAGAAAAACTGTGAAAATTGTTTAGTAGCCAAACCATTACATTGATTGTGTGAAAGTTGAACCGTTTTTTCTCGCTGAATGACTTCATGTGAATCAGTATGTGTTTTTGTAAACGAGCCGATTTGCTCGGGCATGTGAGGTCAAAGTGCAAGCAACGTCAGCACACCTCCTGGTTGTAAAAAGCGAGGAGCATCCTGTTACGCAACGTCATCTCCTCTAATCAATGAGGCATTTAATCCCATCAGTACGGCTTTGGGTCTGTGTGGAAACTCCTTGTTTGCTGCCTGAGCTGAACTGAAGAGTTGTTATAATTCCTAAGTCCAAACTGCAGGGTTTCGATGATTACATCAAGAATTTACAACATTGATGTAATTTCTGAGGTTTCTTCAGCTCGTTCTCATAAGGGATAAAAATATCCTCTGCTTTTTCTTTGAACATTTTTGCGAGATATGAAAAATCTTCAGTACAACATTAGAAGTTCTGTCTTTGAATGTATGAAATAAGCTCAAATGTATGTATAAGTCATGAATTGTAATATCTGTAAGCAGATGTAGGAAGTTGTGGAGTTATGAAAATAAAGAGTAACTCATTTCTCATAATGAAAACTGGTTCTTGCACAAAGGGGAAGCTTTATCTGCAGGCACCAACTACAGTGTCCTTCTTTCTCCCTCTGGGTTAGGATGGTGCTCATTCTTAGTCATATATCGTGCAAGATCTTAAAGGCTCCAAAGGAGGATGAGCCTATGGGGGGAAAGAGGATCAGGATTGACTCTGATCCCTGACCGATTCAGTTCTGCTGCTGCTGGGATCTGTTTTCAGCATGATTTGCATACAGGAAGGGAGAAATATTTTAATGCTGTTGTACCAATTTAACTGGTTTTATGCATATTTACCCTTTAAAAAGGATAATGTTTCTTAGAAAACATCTTTAAAATGTTTAAATTAGTTGTAAACTTTATCTGTGTTCAATCAAAAGGACTTCCTGCTTTCCTACTTGGAAGAGATTAACATTTTAGGACAATCTTTCAAAAAAGGGTTGGATACTCGGCTCCCATGTGAATGAGGGTATATAAACTATAGAAACTAGTCGAAAGGATAAAACACTCTTGGTTTCATAACTCTAAGTAATAGTTTCATCTTATTGTAGTATTGCAATAAATATTTCACTATAAGCACTATCTCCTTGCTCATTGTAGAATTTTAACTGCAGTTTAAAAGGGCTTTGGTTGTCACTTGTACATCATTGCCTTTTTATTTGTGTTAAAACTAGTAGCTCAAAGTACTTATATTTACTCAAGTGACCAAAATAGAGAAAAATATAAAAGAAAAAAAGGCTAAAGTACATGTATATACATGTATTGATGACATTGTAGTGGTAATTACATATAATTTCAAGATTTCACATCCAGACTGAATTACAAGTACATGTCTGTTAATGCTTTAGTATTTTTCTATTTGCAAATGGTGAATGCATGATACCAAATAATTTTATGCTGTGTCTGTGCATTAGCCTTTTAAAATGTTTTAGTTGCTTTTTTTCATCAGTATAACGCGCAAAATATTCCAGCACATAACTTTTTCAGATGAGAAATTTACCAAACACTACAAAATCATTCATTTAATCAAAACTTACTACATTAAAATCTCACAGTGAAATACTTTCTATTACTCTACTTTCTATTTTCTAATGTTAGACACAATGCCAATGGCTAACTTGGTCAATATCTTCGAGTCAGTCCGAGATATCCAGACTAATATTGCGCTACGTACTCTGCTATGGGATACATCGGTGTATATATGGATTTTCTTTGTTGGTTCATCCACTGACTGTAAAATTACCTGAGAAAAGTCTTCCTACAGCTGGCAAACTGCTTGTTTTTGCAGCCAAATGCTACACACACAGGCATTTTTATGGCGCCTCTCCGTGGGAGTGGGGAGTACCAATATGGCGGCCCATGGCTTCACTTTTTTTCTGGCTATCAGCAATCCATTAAATAAATAGATATCAGTGCTTTGCTCCTATTTCTACCTGCATGAGCCAGTTAATCCTAGCAACCACTAGCCATAAATGCATAACCTGTAATAGTGAGCAATGTAGTGGTTTTGCCTATTTTACTTTTCTCACAGATAAAATTTAGGGGTATGAAAATATTTTTGATCACAAAAACAGTCATGGGAAATCTAAAGGAGCTTGTTATCACTCTTATCACAGGAAAATAGAGTCTTGGAGGCCTTTCTTCTTGTTTAAGCTGTAATTATTTTCTCCCCCAGCTTTCAATAGCTTCAGCTTTTGTACCCAAAAGTTTCACGTTAGGTGAATCCGGTTCCCATGACCTTTACAGAATAAAGAAGACGTTTAAATTTTCCCTTTTGAAACTTCTGACTGAATTTGGAGAGAAGGCATTAAGCGATTTTTTTTCTTAATGTTTTATGAAGCTTCTGCCGCACAGAGGAAAAATTGACTTAAGCGATGAAATCCTCTTAAAGTTCTTTTGAAGTCAAACAGCAGTTTGGATTTGTCTTTTTAGCAATCCCATGTGAAGAGATTTTTTGAAACTTTTGTTTCGTTTGAAAGATCTCAATCCCTTGCTGTGCCTTTAAAGTGTCATTTATAATACTGACTGAGAAGCAGCTTTATAAAAACCTAAGCCATCGTCATATCAGTCAAGAATCAACTATATTGTCGTTATGAGACTGTGATGAACTTTTTTTGGGACTTCTGCATCAAAGCGCATATAGAGGACAGACAGAAATGGAAAAAATGGGAAAAATGAGCATCCTGAGAGGAATGAAAAGTATGACACCAATGTTAAGATTCAACTGCAGGAGTCAATGTTATTTCAGGTAACTTATCTAACATGTGCTGTTTATGAGTAGGTGTGCATGAGTCACACCCCTAAAAAGTTCTGCTTCTAAACAAGGCCTTTCATGCCGCCCTTAGATCACAGTTTACAGGGGTTTGAAGTTGTCTGAAAAAGTCTAACCAGATTTTATACCTGTATGTCGCACTGCTTAGATTGGTTCAGATCAGCCAAGATTAATCTAAGCGTTAGGTCTGCATAGAAGCAGAACTGAAATGTCAGGATAAAAAGAGGGGCTTTGATAAGACTGCTTTACACCCACTATTTGCTAAATATTACAGAGCATGTTGAATTTGAGGGTTTTTAAATACCACCAGCCTTAAAAGAGTAAATATTTACTGCTAGCCTCCTCACAATGCTGAGCTTTCAGACTTTCAATCCCACATAAAGCTTTCAATACTTACAGACCAGTATGAGGAAGTTAACATTAGATGTATAACTGTGGGTCATTTTTCTCTCTGCACATTGCCTAATTTAAGTTTGTTCGACTGATCCCCCAACTTAAAAACACATCAATAACTTTTGAAGTTATTGATGTGTAATTCAATCCAAGTATAAATTCAGCTGTATTGTGACTTCAGGAAGGCTGACTACAAGTGGATTTCAAGCTTGTTAGATCTTTGTGCACTGCAGCAAATTAAATCCAATCCAGTAATTTTTCCAAAAATGTGTGAATTTGTTCTTGAATGGAGGAGGTAAGTGAGACACTTTGCCAATGGAACAAGAAAACATACATTTACAATCAGAAAAAAACTATTACATTGCCTTATTTCAAGTTCATATTATCTTATATTTTATTTTGAGAGTAAAAATACTCATTCCTTTGGCAAACGATCTTATTTACCTACTCAAATTAAGGGTAAATACACTTACGGTAGAATTTTTGACTTATTTCTTGATCACTTTTGCAGTGTGAGATATGTTTTTCATTTATGTTATACTTGGATTGGTAATTACATGAAACCTTCTTAAAAAGATCTAATGGTACAAAATGTTGAATATGTCACAAAATGTCTAAAATTAAAGGGGTGCTAATGCTCAGGAAGTAATTGTCAGTTTATTGGTATTGCTCATTTGCGTAGGAAGACTTTTCAAAGTGCTAAACATGAGAGAAAAAAGTATATCAAAGTGGCATAGAGGCAACATAAATATAAAAAAAAGAATAATTAAAACCAGATGATCATATTAAAAAAAGATAAAATGATTGATTAAAAAAACAAAAATAAAGTTGGACTGAAAACGTAACTATGTTTAGTTATCACATTCAAAGGCCATTTTAAACAGATGCAGTTAAAATTTGGATTTATAATAATTTAGGGTTTCTGCACTTTTACATTTTTTATTTATTGCTGATCAAAGGAGCATAAGGACTAAAATCTTCTGCATCGGCATTTTTGGTTCTGGTTCTGCAGAGTAGATTAGAGCCAGACCAGAGAGGTCTTGGCGGTCGATACACTGACAACATGTCTGTAATGTATTTTGGTGCAAAGAGATTTTATGATATATATAATAACAGGTGTATGTTAAAGTCTATTCTCTGAGAGATGGAAAACCATTGGAAGGACTTCAGCGCTGTGGTGATGTGCTCTACCTTCTTAGTTTTAGTGAGGATGTGAGCAGCTGCATTCTGGATCAGCTGCAACCTTCTGAAGGGGTTTTTTGACAGAGAGGATATTGTGGCATTAATCATTTCTACTAAAGATGAATGCATTAATTAGTTTTTAAGGTCCTGCTGAGAAATTAATTATTTAATATTGGAGATTTTCTGTAGGTGATAGAAAGCTGACTGTTACTGTCTTTATGAGCCTTTGAAGGTTTAGTGTCTGATTGGTGATTTTTAGCTGTATTTTTTAATGTTCTTTCTTGGCTTCCAAAATTATTCCTTCAATCTTGTTTTGATTCAGCTGAAGAAAATGTTGGCACGTCGATGCACTGATTTCTCCTAGGCACGTACAAATGTTATGATTAAACTAAGCAGTAATTTATCCAGCCATCACCATCCCATGAGCCAGGCAGCTTCAAACCACTTTCAATTATTCTCATCATGATGGTGCAGAGGCTGGAACACGGGAGGAAGCCAGAAAATGTAAACAGAAAAACAGACACGGAGAGGCAGGGTAAACATGATGTTTATTTCATGCACACAAGACCCAAATAGAACATACTTAATATCAGTGGGATACAAAAGGAAGTGTAGTCACAGCAGGGCTGCAGCTGATACCAGCAGATTCAAAGAAACATGTCTTCAAAGTACTCATCAAACTCTTCCTCCCTAAACAGATAAAACAACCAAAACACAGAGATGTCAGTTCCTGTCATGCTCCGTGCAGACAAAAACAGTCGAATGGGGGAGGGTGGGGGGGATGATTAACTCTGGCAGAGCATCAGCTCTCTACGTGAAGTGAGATGATTGTTAGCTTCCAAAAACGATTCAGAGCACAGTGAGTACTGGGGAGCAGGAGGCTGGAGGAATGTTGGCATGGAGGAAACTTTTCAAAGGGGCATCTTGAAAGTTGAAGGTTTTGTGGTCTTACCATTCATAACAGTTCAAAAACGATTAGTGACATTGTCTGAATGAGCCTCATACTGTGACATAAAACACTCGGGAGCTTAAAAATGAGAGAATATGTGAACATTAGCCTGTTAAACTTACCTTGATTTTTCCTCCACAGCAGGAGCGGGTCCTCGCCAGTGGTCAGCTTCTGAATGGCTGCCCGGTTCATTTCCTGCTTCACTCTCACCTAGGAGACAGAGGTAATGCTAACAGTTACAGTTGAAGAAAGGAAAACGCAATCAGAAGCTAACACAAGTTTAATATAAATATGTTGGAAGGAAGGAAGGAAGGAAGGAAGGAAGGAAGGAAGGAAGGAAGGAAGGAAGGAAGGAAGGAAAGATTAAAACTTCCTCTTAGAGGATTGTTTAAGCAGCCGTCTAAGGAATGAGACGGTGCTAATTGCATCTGTTGGGGTTAAACAACTTTCTAGCAGCTGAAATACGTAATTACTGCTGTGCATTTCCTACAAGACCCTCTTCTTTATTTTCTTAATTGCTTTCAGGGAACGTTTCTGTAAACAAGATCCCATGCTCCTGCTTTCAAATGTGTAACTGCAGCACATCGTGTATTTAGCTGAGATATACTGCATCACATCTGTGCACAAAAAGTCACCTCTTGTGCACATTATCCCCTTCACTGCCCCGTCATCTGCCAACATTTAGGAACAGACGAAACAAAACAAAAAAAGCATAGGGCAGAGGTGTGCTTCATGTCAAGCTGTTCACAGTGAAGGACTAAATAAAAGGCAGTGATAAATCAAAATAAAGATAAATAAAAGCAGAGAAAAAAAAACAGACCTGCTGTCAGTCGATTAGCATTAACAGCAGGGTTAACCTGCATCCAGCAGGAGCTGTCAGGATGTTTTCACCCCAAAATATTGAAAAAAAAAAAAACCTACATGTCAAGGAAGGATATAAATTGGATTTTTTTTTCTTTGCACTGGGAAACTGATGTGTGTGAGGGTGTGTGTGTGATATTGGGAGTGTTGTCCCTTACCTTCTTCCGAGTTGTGCTGCTCTGACTCTGAACTACTTGAAGAGGTGGAGCAATCTGTTGAAAAATACCAGATAAAATTAGGCTCATAATGAAATTCCATTTTCAAGAACAAAATGTAAACACAGCGACTATCTTCATTAGATTAAAGCCACAGAAGATGGCGAAGGAGAGGTACCTTTGTGCTTCTTCTGTTTGTGTTTCTTAGAATGAGAGGAGGATTTCTTCCTTTTCTTTTTCTTCTTTTCTGGCTCTTCGTTTTCCTCAGACATTTTTCTTTTCCTCTGTACTTTTACCTCCTTTCTCCTAAAAGGAAGCACAAATTGACCAAAGTGTGACACGGTAAATGATGACATCGCATGAAAAGGCAACATAGAATAGATCAAAGCAAAGCAAACTTTTTTACTTTGTAATTATTTTTATTAGTAAAGTGGAAATAGCAGAAACGAGACGGGGATTAGTAGTAGAATTCCCTTGCAAACAGAGAATTTAACATTGCATTATATAACTATTGTAGAGGAAATAAACAAGCAAATAAAGGAAAGAGTACATATAGTTATGTTTAAGTAAATATGGACCAATATAAAGGTTAAGGTAGAGTACCGTCATTTTGTTTCACAGCAGGGCAGCTGACTATTCAGGCTGGAAGGCTCTCTTGTTTATTAGAGACAGCCTGCGGGCAAGAAACTATCTCTATGGCAGCTTTTTTTTTTGCAAAACCCTCTTAGTAACAATGAGCTGTAGGTAAAAGTCTACATTGGTTGCATCCAAGATGAGTGGCGTGTCTGAAAAGAAGACAGCTGACCTTTTTTGCACACCCTACGCCTGTGCTAGTCCCGATGATCCAATCTGCATACATAATTGTTCACTGTAGTAAAATATCTGGATGAACTGCACAGTAATGGATTTGCACAGGACAGACTGACTGTAAATCCCTCATGCGGAAGGTTTTACTTATTTAGTTGCAGCGTGAAACACAGCCTTCCTTGGGTCTGTTTCTGTGTAGTATCTATACTGTAATGTATTGAACCACTTTTTCAATACATTTCAGCGGCAACTGGAAGAGGTCTGGATCTTTAATGGTAAGGCAGCTCGACCAACTGAAGTGATGTGATTTGTAGAGACACCAACACAGGACAGGATGCTGCTCAGTTTATGGCTGCTGTCAGATTGTGAGTGAAAGGAGAAGCAGAGAAGGCCGTGGGCAGCTAGAGGAAGCACCCTGGATAGATAGAGCAGGGAGAGTGAGAGTATGACCAAGACGAAAGATATGAGCTAGAGGACACACTACCTACAACTAGCTAGCTGTAATAATATATGGTCAGGCTGGTGAGCAGATGTCAAGAAGAGCAGGGTAAAGCTCTGATTTTGGAAGTCTGGGTTGACAGTAATGAAGGTTGAGCTGAGGCTCTTGGGTGGCCAAGGTGGTGCAGGACAAAGTTTAGCTCCACACTGACTGAATATCCAGCAAATCTGTTCCCCCAGTAAGCAAATCACAGGAGGTCCAGCAGGAGAGCTGGGATGTTCATAAGCTACATCTTTAAGCCTCACTGCTGCACATCACTGTAGGTACTGTGCACTCTGCATGCTTGCTTTTTATGGGTATCTGCCCTACTTTTAGCAGACAAGCGCACTCTCTCCAGAGTCTCAGAAATATGTATTAGAGCCATATTAACCTAGATTTTTTTTTTTTAAAGTAAAGATGAAATGTAAGTGGGCTTACTTGTGATGGTAGTTGAGTTTGAAAGAGCATTCAGGACACAGTCCTAAAAAAAGAAAAGAGTATTATTACAGCTGGCTGCATTGCAGATATAATAGTAATTAAATACAAGCATCCTATTCATTAAGTTACTATGAATACTACTTCAGAAAAATGGGCTCTGTGCAGCATAGTTTTCTTTTAATCACATTATTCTTGTTTTTTTTTTATAGAACTGTTTCTCTTCTCCCTAGTAGACAGACTTTCCTGTTTTGTTTGAAGTGGTCTGGACAGGGTGAGTCTGGGGCCACCCACACCTGCTATTGAACATATTTTCCTTCTAAAGAAGCTTTGTAAATCCTTCAGATATGAGCATGCCCATGCATGCAGACCAGCGGAGTTTGGTTTTAGGTGTTTACGGATACACACCAATACTAAATACTAAGCTGCAGCTACACATATTGTCCATCAATATAGGTTTTGACTTCAAAACATATGGATATCTAAAGGATACCCGCTGCTCTGACAGCTATTTTTGTTGTTTACTTTGGTTGTCTGTTGTCTTCTTGTTACTGTTATGTTCTCTGTTTTTTATTCCTCTTGTCTCATACAGATGTGGAAGCAGACTTCTAGGAGTTACTGTATACCTTCTGTGTTGTCTACTTTTTGCTGTTTTGTTTTATTTTCTCTCTTTTCGTGCACTCTTTCCTGTTTCTATCTCTCTCTCTCTCTCTCTGTGCCTTTAGTTCTTATCCTCTCTTTCTTTCTCACCTCCCCACCTCCATTTCTGTCATATACGATTTTGCTGCATAAATAATTTTCAAAAAAGTTTTATATACCAAACATAACCTTATGGCAACGGTCATAATGGTCACCCTGTGAAAGCAAAGCTGTTGGGCTATCAGCTAGCTTTGGGGCATCTATTCCCAGAGCCATATTGGCAAAACAGGACACACAAAAATAAAAAAATAAATAAAAATAAAGTGGTGTAGAACATTATATATTCAGGAATTCAGCAGTCTGAAAAAGTTGTAAGGTTTTTAGCACCATGGCTGCTATTTCACCTATATTATTGATACATACATACATATATATATTAATTAGTCGACACGAATACGAATTAGGTTAATATTGGCTTAAAAAAACCTATCATTCTGTTTCAAGTACCTTGCAAAATTATGTGAGGAACACTCCTTGGTCTATTTATGATTGTATAAGTTTAACACAAAATAGGAAGAAAATGGATAAAAACATTTTCCAAAAAAAGTTAAGTGTGCATTTTTATTCAGACTTCTTGGTTCAAGAGTTAAGACAACTTTTGTTCCAACTATAGATGCAAATCGTTTACGATATCAGCCTCGCGCCACCATTGGTTTAAAGGTTTTGCACATTATCCTGTATAGAAAAGCTCAGGCTGATTGAACAGTCACTAAACTGCAATTGTGTAATAAATTCTCTCTTTAGTTTAGGCATAAACTTTTACAAGGCTGTTTAAAAACACAAATAAGTTTGCTATCTATAGAGTCTTTGCCCTGGAGGAAGATTAATATTTATCTGTTGATCCTTTTGGCCATCAACCGATTTTTTTTCAGGACTTTATTTAGCCTAAAATCCTCCCATTAATTGGAGTAGCTTCCTCATGACTAATAAAGAAAAGAATCCCCAAAGCATAATGCTGCCACCACCATGTTTCACACTTGTACAGATGTATTCAATGCAACAAGTGTTAGTTTTCTGCTATAAGTGGTGTTTTGCATGTAGGGAAGGGTTTGTCATATTTTCTAAGCTTCTTTCTTCACATATTTGCTATGAAGTTTATGAATTTCTTTCAGAAGCTTTTTACTTTAAATGCTTCTTCCACAGAGTCCAGTTTTGTTCTTCCTGTCAACAGATTTTCCACCATAAGATCAATATCTCTGCTGCTCACCCAGAACCACCTTGGTTCTCTTCATTAATGCTTCCCTTGGTCAGCCTCTCTGTTTTGATTGGCTGCAACGTCTTGGTAAGTCTGATGTAAAGCCACACTATTGAATTGAACAGAGCCCTGGGAGATGTTCAAAAGCTTTGGGATTGTGCCTTACATCCCAACCACAGGGTTGCAGTGAAATGTAGAGAAAATGTTTCCACCCCTCTAAACATGATCCTCAGGACTGTGTTAGGTGGAAACACAGAAAGTATAAAACAGTTGCTGTGAACTGAAAGCTAAAGTTGCAGATGCACTGATTTCAGAGCACAGCAGAGACAAGACAATGAAATACTTTTTTATTAAAGATTAAATCAAATCCTTTTTATCTGCTTTCTACTACAGCAGGTTTTCAAACAGGATTTTATCCTCCACCTAATGATTTTTCACATTTGTAATCAAGCACTGAGTAATAAGCTACCATGACTGGATGCAAAGAGCAGCTAAAATCCAGTGTAAAACTTTGAAAAGCCTTCAAAACAGCTGGCTGATCAGCACAATATTAAAAGATGGCGGGGAAGTCTGGCTGCTTAGAAGAACAATACAATTATATAGAAAAGATTTGAAATTCTGAACATTAGATTTTGCTTAAGAAAGCTGTTCTGCTGCTTTCGCAGCAACTTTAAATTAAAATAAGGCAAAATCGTTTATGTCCTATCAGTGAAGCGTACAGCAGTAAATCTGTCACGTTTGCTTTCATCTAAACTGTCAAAAATTGGATTTAAATGTCGCCAAAATTAGATTTTTTTTTTGTGCGTGTGTGGAGGTGACCCGTCACTTCAGCTTGTTAAAACAGCCTGTGATTCCCAGCTTGACTGACATAGTGGATGCACAAATTATAGTAATTTAAACCCAATTCTCTACAGTGTGACACCTGAAAGTGTTTTTGAGGGTTGGGGGTTTTAGACAGGCGCGTTATCAGCCACTGAGTTATGTTAACACAAACTCAATTACTTATTCTGAAAAGGAGTTTTTAAACTCACTGAGTTTGACCAAAGCGTTCCTCTTCTCCCCTTGTTCCACGTAGGCAAAATTCACCTCCCAGCTTTTCAGGCCTTCCTCTGCTCCGCATAATTTGTTCCCACACTGGAACTGACCTTAGAGATGAAAGTACACACAGCAAACTGCATAAATTTATATGTGCAAACTGAATGAGGTGACTCACAGAGGCCTTACAGTGAAGACATTAGATAAAAATCAGCAAAACATCAAAGAGAAACAAATACTTCACTTTTTTTTTTTATTGGAGAAACAGGGATTTCACAAAACCTCAAGAGGTTTCAACACGTCTTTCCCCCCTCTATACCTATTCTTCCCCACTTCCTTCTTATCACCACTGCTTCTTCTCATCTGCCTTATTTCATCTCCCTCCATGGCCTGAGGCCACCCTGTAGCCGCTGCACAGCCCGCCTATTATCCCTAGAGGAGCTTAAAGGTGCACTGATCTGGTCTCCGGGGTTCCTCCAGATTGTAACAGAGGGAGTGAGTGCGTCATAGAGTGATGCTCTTGGCTCTGGAACAAGAAAGGATCCGCTGTAGGGAAAGCGTTGTTTGCCCTCACCTGCAGCAGTTCAAGATGCTTTCAACAATCAGCTGAGGTGATGCCGGCCACCGTGACTCTGGCCTCAAGGCAGACTCACGTGCGAGATTAAATAGCAATGACGTCAGCTTAGGAAGAAAAAAAGAAAGGATGCGACAGACATGTCTGGCTCTCATCCTAAGTTGTAATGACAATTACAAGATCTGTCATCGAGGGAAAGAAAAACAAAAACCAAGTTACCTAAAGATCAGTTATTTTGTCATTATTGTATATTTCCTAAATTTTACCAAGAGCTCACACTCTAGTCTCTATTGATTTGCAAAAATAACGTATTAATTTCCATTTTAAAGAAAGATGATTGAATAAATTAATTTAGGGACACAGATATTGTCCAGTTAGGGGTCAAATCCTAAATCAGCCATTTCCACCACTCTCTTAACCTGACTCCGCCAGATGGATTTGCTCCGCATATCCATCTGGAAACCTTCCGTTGAAGTAATTTTGGGAAGGGGCGAAAATACTGGTTAGCTGATTGGCCTATGTTGGTGATAGACGGGCCAAATAAACCAATCAGATCAACGAAGCATATGACGTAACAGAGCGACGACGAAGAGGAGCCAATTGATAGATCAAACTCTTGCTGAAACCAGTCGGGAGAAGAGCAAAAACATATTTTCCTCTGAGAAAAGCCTCCAGAGCAGTGTTTTGCTCTTCTTTCAGTGAAGAAATACTCTGTAATTCCGATAAAACTTGCTCGATAGCCACGCTAAGGCTAGTTTCATCAGCTGAAGCCGACTGAACTGTTGCGCTTCTCGTTGTGTCACACCTCAACCCGCCTCAAAGCCAACGCTGATTGGACTTTCGTTTGGTGAACGGCTCCAAATTTTCTTCAACGGAGAGTCTCCAGACTGATTAGCGAGTGAAATCTTGAAAGCTCGCGAGATCAGGATGGTCTCACGAGGCTACCACTCTCTAGCTGTAGCCATTCATGTCCAGGTAGAGGGGTGTAGTTATTTTTTTTTAATATAAATCTGCTCAATATAAATGCCATTATCCATGTATGTATGATGTTTTATGCATTTTACTATAACATCAGCCTTCCCAGGGACCCAAGTTAGAAATTAGCACTTGAGCTATAATCTGGCACAATGCATCTATCCCCTTGAGGCTAAGATTTATTGTACGCTGTCCCCGTTTCTCTGAATAAATAAACTAAACTACTCTAGTCATGATGTTGTAATATCTTTTGTACTATTGTTGATCTTTAAAAACTGGCCTTATAAAAAGAGCTATATATAATACACTGCATTTAACACGTCAATGTGAACTTGAGATCAATGTAATTATAACAGATGAGCAATAGGAACCTGTTGCCACAAAGGGATTGGAAGCCGAATTTGAGGGGAGTTCGACTAGAACACAAAAATAAGATTTTTCTTTAACACTCATGATGAAAACAACAACTACTGATACATGTTGGAGAGAGTAAGGCATAGTAGGAGACCGCAACCACATTTTTGGGGATTGGCCAAAGAAATTTCTGGAAGAATGTCAAGAAGGAAAGTAAAGACGTTTCAGGAATCCACTTCCCAATGGATCCCCTTACATTTCTGTTTGATATGTATCCAAGGGACTCACTGATGGAAGACCAATAATGGATTCTACATGTATTCTACTGATTACAAGAAAAACTATTACCCTAAAATGGCTGAAACCATCAACCATTGCACAATGATTTCAAAAATTAAAAGAGGTATAGCAGGTTTTCAGCTGCACTCCAGCTTAAAATTTTTATAGGAGTGGCCCCACTCCCACGGACTGTCAGTCTGAGTCTCTGAGCAAAGACCTTTAACCCCACACTGCTCAACAGGTGCAGCACAATGGCAGCCCACTGCTCCCCAAGGGGATGGGTTAAATGCAGAAAGTTAATTTTGTTGCTCTGTACTTGTTACAGTATAATAACGATAAAAAGCTGTAAAAAAACCAAACAAAACTTGAGATATTTTTAAGGACATGGATACGTGTTCCATCTCTTTTTGAATGGAATTTTTTTCTGGTATTATTGCTTTTTCTCCCATCTATTTTTTTATTAAAAGAAGAAAAATAGGTAAAGCAAATGAACTGTATTACTGATGTATGTATTGAAGTAATTGTATATACATCCTAAGCCTATTTGAGAAGCCAACCCTCAACACTTTTTGTTTATAAAATTATAAATGACCTGTTATGTTTCCTATTTTGGTAGTAAAAGTAAAAAAATAAAAAAAAAGCTTAGAAAGAAAACTTTTTCACTTAAATTACTTTTACAATTACATATTGAAATAAAAAAGACTTTACTGGCCAAGTTTTATCCAAAAACAAGATATCTGACTTTAGTTTTCCATCGCTCACATTGTGACATACAAAAATAGTGATATGTATTGAAATGTAATCTGATCTGTAAAATATGTTTGTTTTTGTTTTTCTAACAGGAGGAAACATCCAAATCAGATCCCAAATATCACAAGTGGTCTGGATCACTCACCCCTTCCAAAAAAATAACTACAACAATTAAGTCCAATCCCTGTGGTGAGTCTTAGTGATTTAATATCCTCCACACCAATGGTGAAATATAGAGCTACAGCTCGGTTTTAGAAAATCCTATTATTGCGTAAACTCTCTGTAAAACTGCATTTTTATTAATTCATTTGTTTTTTTTCCTGAGGATCTGAGTGATTTCCCCCTTTACTCTGAAATCCACAGTGAGAGATAGTCTGTGTTCTTAGCAATGTTGTTGTCTTCTCTACATGCTGGGCACATTTATCTACAGCTGTCCTGGAGGTGCATGGATAGAAGCACCATTAAACAGCCCCACACAGCTAACATGTTGTTTTACTGTATATAAAATAGGCCCTAAAGCATTTGTTTTAAAATTAGTTGCTTATTTTGTGTCAAAAGCTCAAATTAAAGCAATCGTCCAATCATCTGTCTGATGATCGTCCCTCCTAAAGACATTTGTAAGTTGGTTAACTCCACCAAAACAATGGCCAGGGAAAGTTATACATATATTTTTACTAAATATCTAATGTATGTAAATAAAAAGTTGGGTTTATGGTCGAAAAAAGGTTCACAGATGCATTCCTTGAGAAAATAACTTTCAGCTCCCTGCAGTGTTGAAGGGAACCAGCTTAGCGTCTAATATAGAATAATAAAATATATTCAGAGGTTACAGCAGAGCAGGTTTAACCCCCCCAAGCGACACAAAACCTCAGTCCTGGCAGAGCGGTATTATTATTAAATCTGTGTCGAGGCAATTTCTTCGACAAAATAAAAGCCAAAAACCTTAAATATAACCAAGGCCAGGATTGTTAGCTTATTTCCGTCAGTATCCGGCCCTTAGGTCCTAAAATGTCTCACGTGAATAAAAGGAAATTATTTATTCACTTTTATGCATTTAGAGGGTTCTTTCTTTAAACGGTTATAAACAGGTATTTCTGCTTTGCATCAGTTTGCTTCAGATTCAGTGATATAATCATATAAAAAAGGTAAATGATGTCTATTTTGCTTTGTTGACATGCATCAAGAGTTCTTACTCTAAAGGTCAGGCAAGTCTCACATGGGTATATGAAAAAAACAGAAACTGACAACAGGTTGGCTAAGTAAACCCCATTAAGAGGGGAAACTCCTTTTCTCTTACGTCAATAGCTAATTATGCCACCAGGCAGCGGCTTGAGATCAAGACAGGCGTTCACGTCGGACAGATGGCTCCATGATTAACGGCCACTGGATGAAGTCAAAGAGCTGAGGTCTGAGTCAGCGTGCGTCCATTTTTTAAAAATCCCTCTTAAACACTCATGACGGGTGCATTATTGAGAAATCCGATGATAGATGTGGATTTTTTGGTATGTCATGCAATAACAGCTGACAGGGTTGATTATGTATGATTGAGCGATCTTTGCTTTCTGAGAAAGAGGTTTATCTCTCTGGTTCAGACGAATAAAAATAGCCTTTGCGATAAAAAGGAAGCTATGTCAAGAAAGTATTTCATCTTTTAAGCGTTTTGGATTTTTGACTCAGCAGACCATAGGAAAGTTTTCACACTGACGCCTTAATTTAATCTTTGGCTAATTTAGGACAGCCTGGAGCACTTCTGGATAATGCTTCCGTTTTATTAGATCGACATTTTAAGATGCAACCGATTTAGAAAACGGGGAGTGGATTTCAAACAGCCTCTTGATCTGTTGCTGGCTTAGAGCCCTGAAATTAACAGTCTGTTAGTGTTGGGTTTCAGTCCTGTTCATTTTAATATAAAGATTTCTTTAGGCTTAAAGTTCAAACAAGTCAGACAAATGTAAAAATGTTTTCTGTTTTATCTCTCAGACAGATTAAGCACCAGCACACACGTTTGCAAATAGAGGTGATGTCTCCCCATCTCAATGTCTCTCTGGGATGCACCTTTTATCCTTAATTATGTTTCTGACCTGCTGCCAATTAACCTCATCATTACAGAGATGCTTCAGCGGGAGGTATCTTAAACATTACACAGTTTATAAGTCTTTAACCTGGTAACACCTGGTA